CTTTTTTTTTTTTTTTTTTAATGAGGACAGACATATGCAAATCATAATAGTTCTATCCCTTTTTCTCTGCTTAGGACAATGCAATATGGAATGGGAAAGTGATAATAAGTTTCCTCATCTATAATTTTTTTCCCTGGGTGAAAAAGTACGGAGTGCCTTTTCACCAAGAGCTACATCCCCTAGCCCTTTTAATTGTAGAACAAGGTCCCCCCTCCAAATAGATTGGCACATGGAAGTCAAATGAATCTCCTTTATTTCTAATGAAACTGATACTGAACTATGTAGTGGAGTTGCAAGGCACACAGGGTCTGCTCACAAAACCCCAAATTAGCTCCCCAGTCCCCCAACCTAGCTGCCCCATCCTTAGGTACACCAGGGCCATGTCTGGAGAAGCAAGGTGATAATTTGTGTTCTCTGCAGGTAAACCAAGCCCAAGAGGCTGACAAATGGAGCTGTATAGAATTCAGCCAGTTTATTACACCTGAATTTATTAGTCAGATAAGTTGTTTCATTTGAAGTGAGTAAAGGGCCAAAGAGCCTAGTACTTTCAGTGTTGGTATTCCTACCACAAAGAAGGAAGAACCACGGTGGATTTGGAGATATGTTCTAATAGCTGCATTCATTTTTGAGTAAGACTGTCATGAGTATATTTTAGTGTTTGTTAATTAGGTTACTTGGTAATATGTAATTGCTGAAATTTATTTTGTTTTTATTAGGATTTCATTATAACCCAATTATTAACTTATTTTCTGCTTTTAGGCTTTTAAATGCAGAATTGGAAGCAAAAACAGCTGATCTTGTTCAACAAGCTGAGGAAGCAATAGTAAGTAGTTGAACAATTAGTCATAATTCCATGTAAGTGCTGTTTTTTTAACTTTTTAATTTGATGTGTAGCATACATGCAAAAAAGTACCCAAAGCAGAAATGTTCAACTCAGTGAATGATCACAGACTAACCCTGAATATACATGCAGAGATATCACTATGTGTACATGTAAGTATCTGCTTTGGTAAGCATACCTTTTCTAAATACCACTGAACAATTATTTTGCATTTAGATACTGCACTCCTATGACAGAATTGATATGTAACAATTTTTTCTTGTACCAAAACATTAATATTTGAGAGTAGCTGCATAGAATGAACACAGATAATTCAATAGGGATAGAAATCAAATGGCCTCTAGATGAAAGTTGAATAAATGATAACAATTGTCATTGTTATTCAAATGATAATTTATTTCTTAATCTGTGCAGTGGGATCTAATTCATATTCATAGGGCTAGAATACAGCCACATTTTTAGTCAGGAACAATCAATGTTGTGAGGTTTCTAGACAGTGTATCGATAACTCCATTCTGGTACCAAATTGGATGTTCCTTCTTACACATCTCTCCTTAAAGGTCAGCATTTGCATGTTAATTAATAGGATAGACAGCCTTCCTTAGAGGAATAAAGTGGCTGCATTCAAACTTACCAGTTCTTACCCTAATACAATTATAATTCTTCCTTTAATCTCCCTTCTCCCAAAAATGGAATTGTTGGAGGCAGGGAAGGAAATATAGTAGCATTTTAATGCCTTTTACAAATACTTGTTTGTTAATTTAGGAAAAATAAATGTGTCTTACATAGTCCTTCAAGTAATATATTTAGATAATGGATACAGATTTGCTAGTTGCATTTTTACTTAAATATTTTACTAGGCAGGTGTGACACACCTGTAATTCGAGCACTTGGGTGGTTGAGACATCCAGTTCAAGGCCAGCCTGGACTACGTAGGAGAGACTTGTCTCCAAAATATTTTTTTTATTATAAACAAATGTTTTGATTCCATTTTTAGTTTTGCCAGTGTCAGGAAAATACTTATACAGAAGGACCCCACATTATAGCAGAATGAGAGATTCATATGTGGAGTTACCTAAAAGAATTTCTTTTCTTCCAAAAAAAAGAGCAAAGCAGAAAACTGAGAAGGACTGGAAAGGATGAAAAGGCAGCTACACCTACACCCCACAGAAGCTAACTACTGAATCTAACTGGCCCCTATAGAATTCGTTTATTAGCTTTCTTTTCCTGATATATCTTTGCCAAAGATTTACTCCCAATAATTGAGTTTTAGCATCTTCACAGTATCCTCAGCACAAGTTTCACCTGATTTGAGATGTTTTCCTAGCTAGAAATTGGATATTTAAACAAATTTTTTTATCTCTTTCTAATTTTCATTGCATGCTCCATACAATAGAAGACTCTGGTGGGGCAGCAGGAATTGGAACTGTCTTAAAATGGCCTCTGCATTCTTTTATTTGCTCCTTTGGATTGACTTTTTACCCCAGAGTAAATGAAAAGTGAAGCTACAATATAACAGGCCTTATTTTCATACTCTAACCTTTCGTATCCTGTGTTTTCATGTCATAAAAACCATGGAAAACTCTGTAATGATTAATGCTCAGAGAGATATTTGAATATATCCTAGTTTTATTTTTTCTTTGTTACATATGACTTATTTCACTTATTTAATTAGAGAGCGCATCAGGAGGTACAATCTAGGACTTTTTCAACACAAAATAAATCATATGAAGAGGAAGAAGCTTATAGCATAGGGTAAGTGACTTAAATTCTAAAAAAAATGGTTTTTGAAAAGTTCATTACTTATATGTATCTCACTGTATACATTTTTTCATGCAAATGTTGAAAGCTTATAATTTGAAAAGTAGTATGTAAAATAATAACCGGAGGCATATGCTACTTAGCTACTAAAAGGCAAGCCATTTACTTTATGTCATGTAACTCTCAAATGTATTATTTTAAAATACATATAAATGTTCTCCTTTTAAAAACTGCATTTCTGAGAAGAGGCTCAGTAGCTTGCCCAGAGGACCTAAGTACATCCTTTCACTGAGATTCAAATCACAAATGATATAATTTTGAAATTTGTTCTCATATACTGTACTACCTTTCTTTTAAAATGCCTATGAAGATTAAAGATAATCAAAGTAGGGCCAGGGATTTGGCTCAGTGGTTCTGCTGCCTGTTTTTTTTTTTTTTTTTTTTTTTTTTTTTTTACTTTTTTGGATTTTTGAGACAGGGTCTCACTATGTAGTTGAGACTGACCTGGAACTCACTGTGTAGCCCAGGCTGCTCTCAAACTCACAGTGATCCTCATGCCTCCGCCTCCCAAGTGCTGGGATTACAGGCGTGTGCCACCACACCCGGCTACTATGTTAGTTTTTTGTTGCTGGGATAAAATACCCGACGTAAACAATTTAAAGGAAGAGAGGTTTATTTTATCTCACGGTTTCAGAGGTCTCAGTCCATGGTTATCTGGCTCCAAGGCAGAGACGTCACAACAAAAGTGTGTTAGGGAAGAAAACTGCTCACCTCTTGGCAGCCAGAAAGTAGAGCAGAGGAAGAGCCCAAGAAGAGATACACCCTTCCAAAGCACACCCCAGGGACCGACTTCCTTCAGCTAGGCCCCCTGTTAACAGCTCATTCACTTCATGAACTCAACATAGGGTAAGCCACTTACAACGTTAGCATCTCCTTCAGCTAGGCCCCCTGTTAACAGCTCATTCACTTCATGAACTCAACATAGAGTAAGCCACTTACAACGTTAGCATCTCCATGATCTAATCACTTTCCAGAAGCACTGCTTCTGAACACACAAGGATTAGGGGGACATTTTGATCCAAATTGTAGCATATGCCAAGAGATTAGGAAGAAATAAATGTAACACAGAAAGCATAGGATCTTCACAGATAAAACTACAAAATCTTACTGTAGCTGAGGCAATGGTGATCATCAAGCATTACAAGTTTCTTGTAATTATCAGTGGAAAATTCCCAAAAAAGACAATTCATATATTTTAAATTGTACTCTTCTAAGCACCTTGATGAAATCTCAGCTGTCCTGCTGCTTGCTGCCTCGAGTGCATCACTCCTTTGTTGAACCCATCCATCCTGTGTACACTACCAACCATTAATTATGTGCTTAGGAGCCATTTCAGTTATCAGAGCAGCTGTGCAGTACAGTGGGTGTATTCAGGGAGGAAGGTCAGTGGCAGCCTAACCTGTGTCACTGCGCCGCTATGTCTCATCTGTGCCTCTCACATCTGCATTTTGTCATCCCACATCATCACAAGAAGAGGAGGGAGAGTGTAACAAGCTATTTTGAGAGTGTCCACATTCACATCACTTTTATTAGTTTGTTACAGCATATTACTGTCTTTTACCATTAGATGTTGTCAATTTTTACTGTGCCTAGTTCATGAATTAAACTTCACCAGAGGTGGGTGTATAGAGGAAAACACATAATGTATATAGTGTTTGTCACTGTCATCATTTGAGGCATCATAAAACATGTTACCTATGGTTGAGGGGGAGTTACTGTATAATAATTATAATCTTGGAAAGAACTCTGGTTATCATAATGCCACACAGAACTGACTAGAATCGAATAGGTAAGAAATGCACTAGTTTTTGAGTGATCTGTACCAGCAGCGAAACTCTAAAAGTAGACCAAAATTAAGCTCTCTATGGGTTTCCTAATCTTCTGAGATCAAGAAGGAAGCTATGAGAGCTCAACCTTAAGACAGTATAATGTTTAAACCCCTTAGAGGAGTGAGAAACAAACAAATCCCCAAAAGAATATGTTTCTAAACTAACAGTTATTTGGCTCTATTATGGCTTATGTTTAGATATCCCCTCAAAACCTCAAGCATGCGTAAGTGGGGTTTTGAGGGGTGGCTGGATCATGGATGTATGATACTAGATTATGGTGTGATAATGGCATTGTAGTATGTCTTGTCAGAGGCAAATTTTTTAACCAAAGCACATTTCTAATGATACTCAAAATAAATTAACATGGATAACTAGAATTATAGCAAAATATAATTCTCATTTATGTATCTTTGAAAGATATAGAAGTAAAATGTTGCATATAATTTATTAAAAATAAATGTGGATAACTAAAATTATATCAATAATCGTATGTTTCCATTCACATATAATTGCTGTTGAATTTTATTGTCTCAGCTTAGTATCATCTGTTATTCATGTATGATGTTTATTTTTGGTCTTTAGAGGTCCATTATCATCTGAAGGGATAGTTCATCTACGTTCAGAAACTAAGGTAAGAAATCACACTTTTAAGAAGATCTAGGCCAAGGGAACTGTGTAGTTGAAGACCAGAGAAGGCCGGGCTGGGGCATAGTTATTGAGAACTAAGCTCTGTGGGTCAAAATATCCAGGTTTAGTATTCCACTAACTAGCTGAATAGTCTTGAAGCTCTGGCACTTGTTTTCCTTTTCCTTGAATCTCTTGGTCTGGATGATACACAGGTTGTCACAGGTATGCAGTTCTAGCATTCTTTGCTTTTTTGGTATCCGGGATCGAAATTGGGACCTTGCGCTTGCAAGGTAGGCAACAGAACCACTGAGCCAATCCCCAGCCCTCCACAATTCTAGGATTCTTAAAAATACAATTGAATTGATTTAGTGAAAATAACAATTCTTATTTGTAGTAAAACAGCATGGCAAATAATTAAATTCAGTTTCAGTTTTTTTCTTGTAGCTGAAGAACAAAAACACTGATCCTATAGACAAAGTTCAAAATAAGCTACAATGTGTAAATAAGGGAAGGAAAGCAAATTCAAGGTACAGTATAGTTTTAAAGTATTACTTTCCCCTTTGTTTTGTAGTTCACAACATCATTGTTCTTAATTATTAAGCTGTTTTTATTTCTCCAGACATTTAGGTAACCAAAAGAGTTACACCACCTCTATCTTACCACATTCAGTGATTTAAAACATTTTCTACTCAGAAACATTTTGTAGTAGTTGATGAAAATGTTGTATTGTTGTCTTTAATAAACTCACCACTTCAAAATGCTTAAATGTTAATTTTAGTGGTATTTTCTTAGCGCGGGAACTAGAATTTAAGTTTTGTTGACCACTGCCTCCAATCATGTCGTCTTTAAAAGTACCAATTGTACATTTCACAGAAATTTAAATTTTATAATAATTTTGATGTGCTTTGTCATTTGGGCAAAAGCCATATTTCCTTTCTATTTTTCTGTTTTTGCTCATATACATATTTAATTTTTATTTCCTAGTGTTAAATTGAAATATTGCAGTGTACAAACTGCCAGCGATGTTGCCATTCCAGAGGATTTCTCAGACTTTTCTCTTGGGAAGACAATTAGCAAAATTGAAGGGCAGCTAGAGGAAGAAGGCTTACCTGAACATACAGATGATGAGATTTTCTCTGGTGTTAGTAAAGATATTGGAACAAGTATGTTTTCTTTTGATTTTCATTTTTTGTTTCATTACAATTACTTGAAACGACAGATCTTTGTACACTGCTCCTGGGGCTTAGAAACTTTACCATGACATCTTAGATTTGCTTAATGAACGATCTAGTGAGACTTGGAATGAGTGTGGGAGTAAAGATAAAGTTGTTCATGTGTCAATAATTATTGAAGAGGGGTGGTGGGTGAGGGTTCATTGAACTTGTTTCTTTACTTTTGTATCTATTTGATATTCCTATTATAAAAAGTAAAAATTAAAAAGTCTACTACTGTTTTAGGTTTATTGAGCACTTTCAACTAAAATTAAAATGCCCTACAGCTTAACATTAAAACATTAAAATGAAAAAATTTTCTCTGAATTTCTTTAATTTACTATTATATCTTATTTATTGGAAATTAAATCAACACATGCCATAGTATAAATGAATTATTGATGTTGCATCAGGATGGTCATGTGAGTTTTCTAATCAAGTTTTCCTTATAAATTCATCCTCTGCGTAACACTAGACAAATAATACTGTTTGGATTATCAAAAAATATTACATTAATTTCCAGTTATGCCTCTAAAATTGTTTAATATAAAAGGAGCCACTTATGCTGTCAAAACAAAAAATAAAGCAATTGAGTAAGTATGAGCATAGTTAGTGCTGAACTGTAAAACAGTACAATTAATCATGACTTCAGGCAAGTCAGCCCCTTTGTAATAGTAATTTCATCATTTGAAATTTAACAGTTTATTAAAGATGGTTATAAAATCTATCTGTAAAATTCACCGATTCTGTGAAAAATCATAATAGTTTGTATGTGTAATGACTTCTGAGTTGCATATTAATTCTAAGTGTATAGCAGTTTATTTATGCATTTTCTGATATTTGCTGACCTGATCAGGCTTTCTGGGACAGTTGTGGGGAAAGAAGGTAAATAAAGCAGGAAATCAGCTGCCTTTTAGTCTGTATGAAAAAGGCTTCAAGGACATGGTGGCCAGAGTTGGGCTGTTCAACATTAGAGAGCCACCCAGCACCTGATACTTTGTTCCTGCTTCCAGAAATGGAAAACCAAGACAGACAGACTTTAATGCTCCTTTTTTCTTACTGCGGAATTACCTCTCTGCCACTGTGTCTGTTCCCTTTGCAGTGTCCTTGGCCTAGGAGTCTTCCTTCTTGCGAGTATTTTCCCTTTTTCCAGATGACTACTTGGAATGGCTGGGTTGTGTGTTAGAAGAAAAGAATCAAAAAGTAATTTGGCAATATAGACTGCTTTGTAAAATTTGAAGCAGAATTTTACTAGAGAAGATTGCGTTTGCTTCTGTGAATACCTGGGGACATTACTGATCTGACCACAAATTCTCTGTTTGACACGTTCTGGGCGCTCTTTTAAGTGTGAGTTCAGTATGTACTAGCTTGTGGGTCATATTCTCCGGAGATTTTTTTCTTCCCCTTCATTAACTCAGTTTCCATTAGGAAATATGAACAATTCCTGGGTGTTTTTTCTATCGAGGCCAATTATTTCTACAACAGCATTTAATGTCTTTAATATCCCCTTGTAGAGATATATTATTGGATTCCCCATTTTGAACATTATTTTCCTTATAAAATAATAGTTTGCCTTATGATTGATGATGTCATAGATTCAGCAAAAGGCAGTAAATACAGTCATTTAAATCCACAGAGGCACAGATCAGATTTCTAAAGGCCAAACTGCATGTTATGCAGGAGGAGCTGGATAATGTTGTATGTGAGTGCAATAGAAAGGTAAGTCTTTAAAATTTCTTAAAAGAAATATCTCTTCTCAGGTGAGGAGATGATCAAGGGATGGAGGCAGAAGGGAGAGGGAAAGGAAAGGGAATGACAAAAAGATTTGTTATGTACATGTACTATGCACAAGGAATGTAAACATTATATACTGCAACCATGTACTAATTTTAAAAAACAGAAATTCTCTCCAAAGACATTTGAGGGGCAGTTTTAATTATATTTGTTGAATATCCTTATTTTGATATAATTTACAACCAAATTTTGAGTGAAGTTATAAGACTGAATTTTATTCTGAGATGTTGAATTATCACAGAGTTAAAGGATTTTTAAAATTTGTTAATTAGAATTTTCTATCTCAGACTTACAAGGTAAACTATTAAAAATATCTGACTTCTGTTTCTGAAGATGAAAATGGAATATACTTTGTTTTTCTTCATTAATTGTGTATAATATTTCATTAAAATATTTCATATGAAGCTTTTTTTTCTGCTTTGATTTGATACTGTCTTGTGCATTTTGTCACATAATCTATAATTTCATAACTTTAGGAGGATGATATTCAGGATTTAAAGGCTCAAGTAAAAAACTTTGAAGAAGATCGCACAAGGCAGCAGCGAACAATTAATATACAACAGTCCCAAATAGAAAAATACAAAAATCTTTTTGAAGAAGCAAACAAAAAATGTGATGGATTACAACAACAATTATCTTCAGCAGAAAGGGTAATAATTTTGCTATTTTTCCTAACTTAATCATGAAGATACACTATTAAAGATACACATTTATAGGGAACACTTGGTTGTTCAGGTAATACTGAAAAGTCTCTCCCATAGGAGAGTGTCTTAGTTACTTCCTCATTGATGGAACAAAATATCCCACACCCACAAGTTAAGGGAGGAAGAGTTTATTTGAACTCACAGTTTGCGGACGTTTCTATGCATAGTTGGCTGGCCCCAAGGCAGGGCTGTCTGGCTGAGGAGAAACAGTCCATAGCATGGTAGTCAGGCAATAGTGAAGCAAGGAAGTTTCCATTTTACATTCCATTCAGGCTATAAGCATATTGGTTGATGCCGCCCACACCCAGGTAGGCCTTCCCCTTATCCACACTCAGAACTGTGCTAAACCAATCAGTGGACTACCAGTTAGCAAACACCCTTAATCCATATTCACGCACCCTAGATCCAGCCACCTCTGAAAAGTCCCACCTATGACCACATGAGGCTTTGGGGGAACATCTAGGTAAAAGCCAAAAGAGATTATTTTTAACAACTCTTGAGATATAATTCACATGCCATATTCTTTTAAAAAGCATATAATCCAATAGCTTTTATTCACAGAATTCTAAAATTAGCCACAATCAATTTTAGAACATGTTCATAATCTCAAAGAGATATTTTGTACCCATTAGCCACCACAGTCCAAGTCTCCTTCCTCAATCTCTTTTAGCCTTGGGAAATCAATATTTCCTGTCTCAATGGGTTTATGTACTCTGGAAATTTTAAGCATGTGGGCTCATATGTAGCCTTTTGTGACTTAATGATTTTACATAATAATTTTAAGGTTAGAGTATCAATGAGTATTTCATTCTTTTTATTGCCAAATAACAATTACATAGATAGAACACATTTTGTTTATCAACTGATATATATTTGGGTCATTTTCACTGTTTGGCAATTTTTAATGTTACCATATGATCATGTACAAAAATTACTGATGATTGGTACTACAGAATGGTGAAGTTTGTTAACTGAGTCATTTTGTCTTATTGCCCACCACTTCCTTTCTTATTTTCTAACTGTGCTCTCTTCCTCAGAGTCTACCTTCTTTTTTATTGTCATCTCTATTTATTTATTTGGTTTCTCATATAACAAAACATGTCATGTTTAACATTCTGAATCTGGATTATTTCACGTAACATGATGATCTCCAGTTCTAGCCATTTTCATGCAAATTACATGATTTCATCCTTCTTTATGGCTGGCTAATGTTCATTGTATATATGTATCACATTATCTTTATCCATTCATCTGTTGATGGGCAACTAGGCTGTTTGTACAGCCTAGCTATTATGAGTATGCATGTATCCCTATAGTATGATGCCTTAATTCTTTCAGGAATATTCCCAAGAGAGTCATAGCTGGATCAAATGATATTTCTGTTTTTAGTGTTGTGAAGAATCTCCATACTGATTTCTATAGTGCTTGTTTATATTCCCCACAAAAGGAAGGTTCCTTTTACCCTGCATCCCTGGTAGGCAGCACTCATCATTTTTGTGTTTTGATGATAGTCATTCTGATTGGGGTGAGGTGAAATCTCTAAGTAATTTTGATTTGCATTTCTTTAATAAAGATTGTCTTAGTTACTTTCTCGCTGTGGAGACACAATTCTTTCCATCCACATACTAAAGGAGGAAAGGTTTATTTTGGCTTACAGTTTGTAGAGGTTTCAGTTCATAGTCAACTGGTTCTGAGGCAGGACAGCACGGAAGAGAATTTGGAGAATTGCTTATGGCCTGGCAGCCAGGAAGCAGAGAGAGATCAAGTGCAGAGGAAAGGAGATAGACAATTCCAGGCCCCACCCCTGTGACCACTTCCTCTGATCAGGGGTGATTCCCAACTTCACAGTTGGCTGTAAACTCATCAGTGGGCTAATCCACTAATGAGCAACACATCCCTGTGATTCACTTTCCCAAAACCCCACCTGAACCCGTGAGGCTTTGGGGCAGGGGATATCTGGATATAAGCCGTAACAAAGATGTTGAACATTTTTTCATATACTTAGTAGCCACTCACTTCTTTTCAGAAGCATCTGTTCAGTTCATTTGCCCATTTTTCATTTGGGTTGTTTTGGGTGGTTAATTTTTTTGAGTTCTTTATCTATTTTAGATATTACTCCTCTATTAAGAGTAGCTAACAAAGCTTATCTCCCATGCTGTAGGTTACATTATCACCTTGCTTTTATTTGCCATATAGAAGCTTTTAAATTTGTTGATTCTTGATTTTATTTACTGTGCTACTATGGAGTTCTATATAAGAAGTCTTTGCCTGTGTATATGGCTTCAAGTGTTTCCCCTATGTTATCTTCTAGTAATTTCAAAGTTTCTGGTTTTATATCTAGGTCTTTGATTCACTTTGATTAGATTTAACGCATGGTGAGAGACAGGGATCTGGCTTCTGTCTTCTACTTGTGCCACTTTCCCCTGCACCATTTGTATAAGAGGCATTCTTTTCTCTAACATAGGTTTTTGTGCCCTTTGTCAAAGTAACAAATGGCTATAGTTTCATTTTTTTTCCTTTGTTTTCTTTTCTGTTCTATTGGAGTGGTCTGTTTTTATGCAAGTTCCATGTGTTTTAGTTACTATGGTTTTACTGTAGTATAGCTTCAAATCTGGTATTGTGATGTCCCTTGCATTATTTTTTTGTTTGTTTTATGCCTTTTGTGTTCTGGTTTTTGTTTTTGTTTTTTGCTGAGGATTGCTTTGATTCTTTGGGGTCTTTTCTGATACGTTATGGATTTAGAATTGTTTTTTTTGTACTTCTGAAAAGAATGTTTTTGGTTTTTTATAGAGGTTACATTGAATCTATACATTACTTTTGATAATATGGCCATTTTCACAACATTAATTCTTCTGATCCGGGAACCAGACACTTTCCAGTTTCTAATGTGCCCTTCAATTTCATTCTTTAGAGTTCTGTGATTTTCATTATGGAGGACTTTTCACCTTCTTGGTGAGGTTAAAAATTAAATTTTTTAGTATTTAATTTCTTTGAAGCTATTGTGATGGAATTGTTTTCCTGACTTCCCATTGGCTTTATTAGTGTTGTACAGGAACACCACTGATTTTTATGTGTTGATTTTGTATCCTGCTACCTTGCTCAAATTGTTTATCATACCTAAAATCTAGTGGAGTTTTTTTGGGGTCTTCTCTTCTGTGTGAATATTCATAAAATCTGCAAATAAGGATAATTTTACTTTCTTCTTTCCTGCTTTTATCTCCTTTCACTTCTTTCTCTTACCTGATCACTCTGCCTGAAGTGTCAAGTATTGCATAGAATAGGACTGATGAAAGCTTTGTATCATTCCTGATTTTAAAGGAAATGCTTTCAGTTTTTAAAGTTGACTGCATTTATCACGTAGGGCTTTTATCAGTTTCACACAAAATCCTTCTATACCTGAACTATTGTTGGATTTTGTTGAAGGCTTTTTCTGTATCTATTGAGATGATCATGTGATTTTTTTGTTTTTTTAGGCTTCATTCTATATATGTGTGGTGAGTTACATATGTTTATTGATATATGTTTATTTACATATGTTGAAATATCCTTCACCTCTGGGATAAAATCAACTGGATCATGGTGTATGATCTTTTTAATGTGTTATTGAATTCTGTGTGCAAGAATTTTTTTTTTTTTTTTTGGTTTTTTGAGGTTCTCACTATGTAGTTGACTGACCTGGAACTCACGTATGAAGCCCAGGCTGGTCTCGAACTCACAGCGATTCTCCTGCTTCAGCCTCCCGAGTGCTCGGATTATAGGTGTGCGCCACCATGCCCGGCTTGTGTGCAGGAATGTTATTGAGGATTTTTGCATTTATGTTCATCAAAGATATTAGCCTGTAGTTTTCTTTCTTTTTTGAGCTCTTATTTGGTTTTGGAATTGCCATAATGTTGGGTTCACAGAGTGAACGTGGAAGCATTTCTTACTTTTCTGTGGAAAAGTTTGAGGAGCATTGATTCTTCTCTATAGGTTTGGTAAAAATTCAGCAGTAAATCCACTAGGACCTGCCCATGTTGTAGTAAAATTTTTGTTATTGAATCATTTTCATTCCTTGTTAGTAATCTTTAGATTTTTTTATATTGGTACAGTTTCATAGGTCACATATATCTAGTCTATGAATTTATCCATTTCTCCTTGATTTACAAGCTTATTGTAATATAAGTTTTCAAAAATAATTTCTAACAATTCTGTGTATTTTAGTAGTGGCTTTTGATTTCACCTTTTCATCTCTATTAACATGGACCTTTCTCTTTTGGTAAGTTTGGCTAAGGGTTTTAATCTTGTAGGGGATTTTTTGTTTGTTCTTAAATAGCTCTTTGATTCATTGATCCTTTGTGTTGTTTTATTTGGATTTTGTTTTGTTTTATTTTTCTGTTCCAATTTCATCAGTCCCCACTGTGATCTTTGTTATGTCTTTTCTTCTACTCGTACTAGTTTTGTGTTTGATTTGTTCTTGTTTTTCTAGGACTAAATACATTATTAATTTATTTATTTAGGATCACTGAGGTTTTTTTTAATATAGGCACTTATAGTTACAAATTTCTCTTTACAACTGCTTTCATTGTATCCCACAGATTCTGACATCCTCTGTTTCCATTATTATTATTTGATTAACTTTTACATTTCTCCTCTATTTTTTTCAGTGCTTCAGTGACCCAATGATCAGTCAAGAGTGTAGTATTCAATTTCCATGTGTTCATTTTGTTTTGTTTTGTCATTGTTGTTTATTTCTAGCCCTCTTCCATTGTGATCTGATAGAATACATGAAACTATTTCAGTTCTTTTATATTTATTGAGACTCCCTTAATGGCCTAAAATATGGTCTCTTTTGGAGAAAATCCTGTGCTCCTATATATGGGTAATTCACTTTTTAGTGTACAGTTTCCTGAGTTTTGACAAATGCATGCAGTTGTTTAACCATCACCATAATCATGATATAGAACAGTTCCATCACTCTTGCCTTCAGCCAGCCCCATGTATGGGTATAAAATTTGGAAGAAGATAAGGGACGTGAAAATGGAAAAATGTTGTAAAATATAAAAAGAGAGCTTATGATATTTAAATAGTTCATTTCTTTTTTTACTGAACAGGAATTAGAAAATAAAAAACGACTACAAAAACAGACTGCCACCAGTCAGAGTGCTACAGAAGTTCGCTTGAATAGAGCCCTAGAAGAAGCAGAAAAGTATAAATTGGAATTAAGTAAACTGAAGCAAAATAATAAGGTATGCCAATATTGAACAGTGTTGGTAGTCATGACCTTTGGTAACTTATTTTTATGGAAGCATCAAAGATAATAGCTTTAAAATTTTTATTCTTGAGGTGTTAACATTTTTCTTTTCAGAAGAAATATATTCAGTAGTAATAAGTACATTTTCAACAAGTAAAGTGTACAACCATACCACCCTGAACATGCCCAATCTCATCTGATCTCAGAAGCTAAGCAGGGTTGGGCCTAGTTAGTACTTGGATGGAGATTATATGCTTGGGCTATTACCACAATTAGGTGATGGCAAAACTCTCTGGAGGATTTTTTTCAGTTCTTCACTGAAACATTGTTATGAGTCCTTATATTTTAATACAGATGCTTTTCTAATATCTAAGGGTAAGTAGTGGGGGAAAGTGTCTTTTATATCTCAAGTCTGTTATGTCCTTTTCTGTGCCTCAATTTTCTAATGTGTAAATTAAGGGCTATTTTATATCAGACCTGAGCATGAATTAGGATTATCTGGAGGGCTTGTTAAAATTCAGGTTGCAGACTTGGAGCCTCTGACAGGGGAGGTCAGTGCAGCTACTGCTTGAAGTCTTAAACTAAAGTTCTTTAATTGTTGTTACAGAATGATTTGGAGATCACCATCATGTCTCCAATTCTTGGCAGAGGATTAGCATTCAATGCTTTAACTATCTGTTGAATAAATGAAGGCCCAAATATTGATGTGTGTGTGAAATCCTTTTTGGAGCATTCCATAAAACTGTCTTTCAGAATTGATTGAGAAATATGATACTTTCTTAACAAAGATCCCCTGAGAAAGTTCACGAAGACCAAGCCAGCACTCCAGAGTTTTATGAAGGATATTCTAGAAAGAGATAACAAGGATTACAACTCCATGAACCATAACAGTATGAATCTACCAAGCCTGGCAAGAAATTATACAGAGGAGGAAAAAGGGAGCCAACAACAGGAAAATAACATGACAAGAATAAGTTAATACATATCAGTTATAACCATCAATATTAATGGTCTAAATTCACCAATCAAAAGAAACAGACTGGCAGACTGGATCAAGAAGCAAGATCCAAAAATATGCTGTAATACAAGAAATACATTTAATTAAGAAAGAAATTCATACACTGAAAGTCAAAGGATGGAAAACAATACTCCATTCAGAGGGAACCTGGAAAAAAGCAGGAGTAACTATATTTACAGACAAAGTGGCTTTCAAGCTATGGCTGATTAAGAGAGACAAAGAAGGTCACTACATCCTTATAAAGAGAATAGTCCTAGATAAAGAAATAGTAATAATAAATATATATGGACCAAATACTAATGCACCCGACTATATAAAACAAATTTAACAGACACGAAAAATCAGATCAGCTAATACAATTGTAATGGGGGAACCTCTATATTCCACTGACACAAAGAGAGCAAGCAGGCAGAAAACCAACAATGAAATATTAGAACTTTTGAACAAATGGATTTAGTAGATGTTTACAGAGTGTTCTACTCCACAACATCATAATACACAGTCTTCTCAGCTACACATAGGACATTCTGCAAAATAGACCATATACTAGCTCATAGAACATACTTAAGCAAATGCAAAGGAATTGAAATTATTCATATTATCAGACCATAGCACAATGAAATTGGAAATCTCTGGAAAAAGAAACCACAAGAATTTCAAAAACACATGGAAATTAAAACCATCTTGAACAACAGTGGGACACAGATGAAATTAACAAAGAAATTAGATATTTTCTACAATTAAATGATAATGCCTGTACAATGCACCAGAACTTAGTGGACACAATGAAACCAGTCCTACAAGGGAAATTTAGAGCAATGAATACCCATATCAGGGAAACAGAGTGAACTCAAACACCTTAATGTTGAACTTCAGAATTTCTAGAAAAATAAGTGCAGGTCTTCTATGAGGGATAAAGTGATAAAAATCAGAACAGAAATTAATGGAGACTAACAAAACAATACAAAGACTCAAAGAATTGGAGAGTTGGTTCTTTGAAAGACTAAAATTGACAAATGCTTAGCCAACCTTATCAAAAAAGGATTCATTCAATGCAATTTGTAATGAAGAGGGTGAAAGTAGATGCTGCAGAAATTTGTTGAATGCAGGGATTATTCAACATATACAAATCAGTAAATGTAATACACCAAATTAACAGCCAAGGATAAAAACCATATGATCATCTCAATAGATGCAGAAAAACCATTTGAGAAACTCCCAACACCCATTCATGGTTAAAATGCTACGGAAAATGGAATACAAGGTCTTAATCTGATAAAAGCCATTTATGACAAACCAATAGCCAACATCACTAAATTGTCAAAAACTGGAAGCTTTCACTCTAAAATCAGGAACAAGACAAGGATGTCCATTGTCACCACTTTTATTCAATATAGTCCTAGAAACATTAGCCAGAGCAATTAGACAACAGAAAGAAATAAGAATAATGATAGGAAAGGAAGAAGTTAAATTATTATTTGCAGAGAACATGATACTCAACATAGACGACCCCAAAAATTCCACCAAAAGACTTCTATCTCTATTAAGTAATATCAGTAGTGTAGCTGGATACAAAGTCACTACTCAAAAATCAATAGCTTTCCTGTACCCAAAAACTCAGTGGAATTAGGGAAACAACACTTTTCACAATAGCATCCAAAATAATGATATACCCAGGAACCAATCTAATGAAGTAAAATACCTGTACATAGAAAACTACAATACTCTGAAAGAGGCAATCGAAGATAACCCTTGTTCTTGGGTAGGAAGAACCAGTATAGTGAAAATGGCCATACTTCCAAAATTTTTATACAGCTATTCATTGCAATCCTGATCAAAATTCCAATAGCACATCTCACAAAATCAGAGAGAACAATCCTAAACTTTAGTTGGAATCAGAGAGACCTAGAATAGCAAAAGCAATACTGGGCAACAAAGGCAAGGCAGAGTGCATCACAATCCCCAAAATTACACTACAAAGCTACTGCAATAAAACAGCACTGAACTAGAAGAAAACCAGACCAGAGGATCAACGGAACAGATAGAAGATGCAGAAACAACTCCAACTACACTCAGTCATCTTATCTTTGACTAAGAAGGCAAACACCCTCACTGGAAGAAAGATAGCCTCTTAATAAATGCAACTGGAAAAAAGTGAGTTTCTACTTGCCAAAGATTAAAGCTAGACTGGTATCTTTCACTATGTACTAAACTAAAATCAATATGGATCAAAGATGTAAATATTAAAACAGAAACACTAAATAGAATATTTAGAGACACTAAATAGAAGATAGACTAGGTAGAACTCTCAAAGACATTGGTGTAAGCAAAGACTTTATGAACAAAACCTCAATCACACAGAAACTATCCAAAACTCAACTGGGATCTCATCTTTTAAAATGTTTTTGCACAATAAGAGAAACCACCAACAGAGTGAATAGACAAGTGTGGAGAAAAAATTTTACCAGGTATTCCTCAAAGGAATATCTAGACTATATAAAGGACTCAAAAAATCAGGCCCCCCTATAGCTCTGCCAAAAGAATTCTAGACTTAATTGACAAATTCAGTAGAGTAGCTGGATATAAAGTCAACACTCAAAAATCAATAGCTTCTTGTACACAATAGACTCAGAAATTAGGGTAATGATTACTTTCAAAATAGCATCAAAAAAAAAAAAGAAAAGAAATATCTAGGAATCAATCTAATGAAGGAAGCAAAAGACCTCTACACTGAAAAATACAGCACTCTGAAAAAAGAGATCAAAGAGGACATAAGAAAACAGAGACATCCCTTGCTCCTGGGTAGGATGAATGAACATAGTAAAAATGGCCATACTTCCAGAACTGTTATATAGATTCAACACAATCCCGATTGAAATCCCAACAGTATATTTCACAGAACTAGAGAAAATACAAAAATTAATTTGGAACCAGAAGAGACCTAGAATAGCAAAAGCAATTCTAGGCAACACAGAGATGACATGGGGTATTACAATCCCCAATTTGAAGCTATACTACAAAGACACTGTGATAAAAACAGCAAAGTACTGACAAACAGATCTGAGGATCAGTGGAATAGATTGGAAGATACAGAAACAACTCAAGAAGTACTCAGCTACATCATCTTTGACAAAGGAGCCAACCATCCTCAGTGGAGGAAAGAGCCTTTTCAATAATTGGCTTTTTGGAAAAACTGAATTTCAACCTGCCAAAGATTAAACTAGACCCCTAACTTTCACCACGCACTAAACTAAAATCCAAGTGGATTAAAGATCTAAATATTAAAACAGAAACACTAAACTTGCTGGAAGATACGTAGAACTCTCGAAGTCACTGGCATAGGAAAAGACTTTATGAACAAATCCTTAGCAGCACGGGAACTAGTCTGTCATACAATGAATTACATTGGTTGACTTTCCAAATGTTAAGAGTATCTTATATTCCTGTGATAAATCCCAGTTGGTTAAAGATAGATGGACAGACTATTTGGTTATACATATGAAATATTAAAAGATGTACAAATTTAAAGTTGTTTGCATGTATTTACACATAGGAACAATTTTAATCTGAATCTGGTCTTGTTTTATTTTTTTGCAGATTCTTTTCAGTCTGTACTTTCTTGTAAATACTTATGGACTGTAATCGTAAATTTTTTGTTTGTTGATTGGTTTTGGTATAAGTGTAGGAATACCTTCATTAAATAAATTTCCAACTCACTTTTCTGAAAAAGCCCAACTTTCTGAGAAGCTTTTGTAAAGTTGGTATTTTTTTCCTTGAATGTCTAGTAGAGCTCACAATGATGCTGTCCCTGTTTTCTTTTGGAAATATTTTAAATTTCAAATTCAGTTTATTTAAGAGGTGTATCAGTATTCTATGTAGACTGGAGGCTATCAGTATTTTCTTGATTGGCATGTTTCGATCTTATAAGAATCTGTCCATTTTTATGTGTTGTCCAATTTACTGGCATAAACCTTTTTATACTATTTTCATATTATCCTTTGACTATTCCTCCTCCTCCATTTCTTATTGGTTTTCTCCTTTCTTTTTTTTTTTTTTTTTTGGTATTGGGGATCGAACTCAGGACCTTGCACTTGCAAGGCAGGCACCAGAACTACTGAGCTAAATCCCTGGCCCTCCCTAATTCCTGTATTGTAAATTTGCATCTTTATCTGTCTTACTAGATGCCCTACTAATTCTGGTTTCCATTTACCTCCATTATTTTTTATTTCTCTTTTAATGATTTTCACTCTTTATTATTTACTTTTTGTGTTGGATTCAATTTGTTTTTTCTTTTACTAATTTCTTAAAGTAGAAGCAGAGAGTGTATAAACTTTCTCAATATAATGTAATTTAACCCTGAAAAATTCCCCCTCTGCATTCCTTTAATTACTTCCCACAAATATTTTTATTTTTTATATTTTTGGCCCATTTAGAATATTTTCTAATTGTTCGCTTGATTTCTTCTTGTTTCATAAGTTATTTAGAAGTTTGCAAACCAAGGAGGGAAGATCCACCCCAGCTGTGGGTGGTACCAGCTAGTAGGCTTGTGGCCTGGATAGAATCAAACAGAAAGGTGGAGGAACTTGGCCTGAGTTTGAAAAGGCTCCATTCTGCTTGAGCAAGTGCATATTTTACTACTGCCATTACTTATGTACATCACACTCCAGTTTCTGTAGCCTTTGAACACAGACTGATACCAGTGCTTTTCCAGGAAGCATCTAGACTTCCCATCTCAAGGTGGAATTGCATCTTTTTCTGTAACTTACAGCTTCTTGGACTAAATAAACAAAAAATTGAGCACCCAAGAGCAGTTGTAGTGCGCGCGTGCGTGTGTGTCTGTGTGTGTGTATTTGTGTGTAAGATATTACTTACAGATTCTGCTTACAAATCATCTGTGCCTATAAATATATTTTTTAAATTGTGTCCTAAGTTTGTATTTCTTACTATCAAGTAGAGTTGGCCTAATACAAGTTACTTTGCATGACTAGACATAACATGTAAAGGTACAAGATCCCAATGATAAATGTAACTGCATTGTTTACTTTAAATATACAATAAACTTAATGGGGAAAAAACAAAGCGAGTTATTTTAAAAAAATACTTGTTTTATGAGAGAGACCTGTTCATGATTAAAAATTAGCAGATTATAATAAAACTATCACATTACAGTAGTTTAGTAATGCACAGAAATTTCTATGTACAAAAAATGTATTTCAGTTAAAAATAGTAACTGATGTGGTGGTTCCATTAATAAACTGCTTACTAGAAAAATAATATGTGAATTTTTCCTTTTGTAGGATATAGCAAATGAAGAACACCAAAAAATTGAAGTGTTAAAATCAGAAAACAAGAAGCTAGAAAAACAAAAAGAAGAATTAATGATAGGTTTCAAGAAACAATTAAAATTAATTGATGTTTTAAAAAGGCAGAAGGTGAGTCTATCTTAAAATAGATATTAAATTATAGAAATTATCTGAATCATTTTACTATGTAATGTCTTTAAGCTTGTTTAGTTTTTATTTTGACATCCCTGAACACAAAATTTTATCTAAATAAAATTCATTGTACATATGAAATGTATATATATAAGATTGTAATGTCTCATCCAAGTAAATGGGTATTTTCATGTAACTAAAATATGTGGAAAATGGGATGAGTACAGTCTGGGTACTTCCATACTATACAGTATACAAGAATAACTTACTTTTTAGGGACCGCTTTCCTTTTAAAAACCTTGAGTGAACACTGATTCCAGCTCACTGTTGTTCCTGTCTATAAACATGTGATGAGATGATATAAATTCATAGCTCTCCTACTTTCCGTTTTTATTTTTTTTAATTTTTTTTCAGCTTTGAGTTTATTGGTACATTTTAGTGATACAGTACAGTTACATTCATTGTTGGGATCTTGTACCTCTACATGACAAGTCTTGATAATCATTTTTTCCCCTTACCCCTGCCCTCCCTTCACCCCTCCTCCCCTCCCCATCTACAAACACTTTATTTCCATCTTTTCATTATCTCACATTTTTTTCTTTTCCCTTATTACCCTTCCCCTACCCGTCCCACCTTCCCTACACCTTTAGCTCCTTTCTTCTCATTTCTAAATGACAGTAATCTTATTAGGATCTTATGTATTGTTGCAGATTATTCACACCAGGGAAACTGTTTGGTATACTTTCCCTTTTTAAAAAGTCAGATATTATAATACTGAACTATCATTTAATAGTAGATTGATTCATTATTATTGCAGGACAAGAAAGATTTCCATAGGTTGATTATTGAATGTAGTTATCATTTCAGATATAATGATTATTGGAATTAGAGTACACATTACTAACAAAACATAGTTTGATAACATAATTTCACATATCTTCATAAGGTACCTATTCTATCCTTAATATTAAATCAGACAATTTTGATTATTTTTAAATAGATGCATATTGAAGCTGCCAAGATGCTGTCTTTCACTGAAGAAGAATTTATGAAGGCACTTGAATGGGGAAATTCATAAATGATCCTGTAATTGTGTGATGGATATCAATTTTATTTAATTGCAGTGGTTTGCATTATTTTTACTCTTCACAAGTAATGAAAATATTTATGGAATCAGGATTTCAAAGAATTCCTTGTTTAGATATATGAATAAAACAAAATTAATGTATTTTTCTGACATGTAGTTATGATATATTTATTAAAGTAGCAAAAAGTTAACTTTGTTTTTTGGCGGGGAGGGGTACCGGGGATCGAACTCAGGATCTTGCTCTTGAAAAGCAGGTGGCGGAACAGCTGAACTAAATCCCCAGCCCTCACAAATTTAACTTTTGAATCTACGTTTCTTACAGCCTTGTAAACTTTTGTGACTTTTTTGCAACTGAACTAAAAAATAGATTCTGGGAGAGAATGGAGCAAGATGGGAGAAATTTCCAGGAGTCTTCCCCGGACTCAACTAGTGTAGCACTGAGAATGACCAGAAGCCCACAGTTGCGGTTTGCCTACTGCTGAAGTTTACGCATAATTAAAGGCTGCAGTGATGCAAGCTGGCAGTTCTGAGGTCAAGCAGCCCCCACCCTCTAGAGCTGCAATTGCTATAGCAGTCAGGGGCTTACAGATCACAGATGGTCTGCCCAGAATATCTGCACAAAGTTAAAACTAAAGACTAAAGACTTTAACTAAAGTTAAAACTAAAACTTAAAGGCTGATTGCAAAGACTGAAAGTAGTACCACCTACTTTAGTGTTCTGACACTGTTACATGACCACAGGGATCAAGAAGCAGAGAAACATGATGTTTCTACAGAGAAGTCAACAAAGAATTCAAATAAGCTGTTTCAGGAAAGCTCAGTGAACTTCCTGAAAATAGAGAAAAAGTTAAAAATGCATCTGATTGAAAAATCAAAGTACAATAAACAAAATTTAAAATTTAATAGTACCAACCATCGAATTGATCAACCACAAGAAAATCTGTGACCTCTAAGTTTAATTAAAAACATATAAAGGAGAAAAAAGAATGATAAAGAATGAAGAAATCTTGTGGGACTTATGGGCTAAGCATCAAAAGACCAAATGTATGCTTAATGACATCTAAGGAAGCAGAGAAAAAGGGTAAGAATGCACATTTAAAGAAATAATAAAGAACTTTCCAAACCTGAAGACATAAATATTCACACATCAGAAGGTCAAAGGTCTCCAGTGATTCAAACCAAGACTATCTCCGTGACATTTTTTTCTGTATCAGGGATTGAACTCAGGACCTTGCACTTGCCAGGCAGGTGCAGCACCACTGAGCTACGTCTCCCACCCTCCGTGACATATAATGAAATCAAAGACTGTTAAAGATCAAAGACAGGTAGTGTCCTAAAAGCAAGAGAAAAGCAAATCTCATAGAATGTAGTTCTCGTATACCTGGCAGCTGGCTTCTCTGCAGAAACCTTAAAGGCCAAGACAGACTAGAAGATGCATGCAATGAGATGAATTGGGAAAAACTGCAAGCATGCATAAACTATACACAGCAACGCTATTCATCAAAAATGAAGGTGAGACAACGACTTTCCAAGACAAAACCTAAAGGAATTCATCACCACCAAATTTGCCTTATAAGAAATACTTAAGGAAGTTCTTTAAGAAAAGGATTCTAATTAGCAACATAGAAACATGATAAAATTTAGTAAAAATACACAGTTGAATTCATAATATTCAATACTGTAGTGAAGCATAAATAAATGAGTATTGAGATATATAAAACTGTAAATTGGGACATGAAAATATAAAATGGAAATGTAGACTAAAAGGATAGTTATTTTTGGGATCAAAGTTGTCCACCGGGAGGGCAGCTGCAACACAGCACATTTGTCCTCAGCCAGCTCCATGTCCTGATTCTGCACCCTGGCCACGTCAAGCTGCCAACTCCTGACTTTAGTTCGGCTCAGCAGAGGGTCACAGAGGCACTGGCCAACCAACTAGACCCAAGCATGGATGAGGCTAACACCCTGGAGAGAAGGTAATCCCCTAAGAGAAATAGTGGATGGGTCAGCAGTGTTATCCCCAAGAAAAGCCCAGGACTGCTATAAACTGTAAACTGTAAAACTGGCATTTGGCTCCAAGAGTGACTCATGGCAAGGTAGAGGTAGAGAGATCCAGTGTACCACCTGCCATATTGCCAGGGAGAGTTTAATCAGGGACCATTTTGAGAATAGGTTGATTGTGTGAGACTGAGCCACATAGCACAACTACAGTACAGCTTCACTCCAGGATTATCAGTGTTACACTACCAGTGTGACAGAGACAGCCATGAGAGACAGATGGAGAAAGTTTGAGGCCTAGACATAGATCCCCTGAGAAGTTCAAGCCCAGGATAGAAAAGACATAAGACCAGACCCAACAGCCAACAACTGTGGCTTTCAGAAGTAGTTAGATCTGAAGGTGATGACATTAACTCTAATGGTTTACCTGAACCCTGCCCTGCTTCCTAAATTAAGCAACGAATGGTGATCTGACTGCTTTTCCATTTACCCTCATAAGTGGGGATACACCTTGCCTTGTAATGTTGAGTAGACTCTCTTGAGGACGGGGATACAGAAAAGTCTCTAAACAGTCAAAGAGATACTGAAAAGTAGCCTCCTGGGTTTGGCCTACACTTTTTCATAGAGTGTTAAAACATGAGGTAGTGTTAAGGAATCCAGATCTTCAATTATCAGTACAATAATGAAAAAATCAATTTTGCAGTTAAAGACGTTAAGCCGTTTAATTTTTATCTGATAATTTTTTATAAATTATGAAATAAAGGATGTTTTAGAAAATTTGGATAAGACAATGGATCCCTACCATCAATAAACTGTAAAACCAAAGTTAACACTGACACCTAGTGGTTACATACAAAAGAACACAAGTTTTACCAAATCTTGCCATCACTTCTTTTCACAAATTTCACTCCTTTTCTCATACACTTTCCTAAACTCTTCACCAAGCATATCAACATCATCTTCTGTTTTAAATACTCCCTACAAGAAAAATAAAATTTTATGGGTTACTTCTGAATGCCAGACTATTTCACTAAATGCTTTTGAGACTAACAAATACACAGATGTACAATAATAAAATCATCCAAGATAATGAAATCTGTTCAACTGCTTTATGAAACTTTTAAATAAAAACCAGTATTTTCCAAAAATTATCAGATCCAGGGTAGGAACTTGTGTTAGGAATGTGAGCTTTTCTACTTTACAACTGTAAATAAATACTACTGTTTGGATTGCCTGGAAGGAAGGGAATTAAATCTATTTTGTACTCGTCTTTTAAAATAGCTCTATAATATGACATGAAGAAGGTGAGGGGTGAAGAGACTGAGCTTTAGTGGATGCACACATGGATTTGTTGCTCAGTTGTATAGCTAATCAACAAATGTTCAACGTGGCAGCGAAGAATCCAGGTTTGGAGCTAAACTATTTAAACAAGCCCTTTGAAAAATTTTACTCTGCTTTTTATTTTTCTCTTCCTCCACAGAATAGAGCAAAAGGCTTTTTAAAACAAAGTTAAATGTAACATTTATCTTGAAAGCTGTATGATTTAAAGGAACTTAAGGGTTATTTGGGGCCACTGAATAAAGGGCTATCAGGTTTAACAGCTCCTCTTCCTACCTCCACAGTAGTTTTCCCCACAAAAAAAAAATGCTGAAACCAAGGATTCTCCTAGAATTTATAAACTATTTTATGAGACTTGTCAATTAGACAAAGATTAATATATTATTATTTATTAATTCTATCCAATTAGATTGTAAAGTCCCAAGAGTTTTCAAATTCAAAAAGCTAAATGGCACGATTTCTACATTTGAATGATGATAACTTTATTTACATGAGTCTAGATGATTATGCGACTGTGAAACTCATTAAGAGGCATAATGTATGTCAGATAAACGTGCATTCACTAATTTTTGGAATTATAGTCCAGTCTTGGATTGAGAATAACTAGGTCTATGAGTGTTCTGCAAGATGAGCAAACATTTCTAAGACATTTTAACTTGATAAATGAGTGATGTCTTGCAATACCAGTGGTACTTCAGGCTGAATGTGACATGATCACAACTGGTTCATATCTCTCTCTCTTGCTACTTTTATATACAAATGCTTTGGATCATGAGCAGAATGAATCGCTTTCACAAGCCAACATTTTACTAAGTACTTTTGGAAAGTGAGGCTGCCTAGTATGGAGGCATAACCTTGTAATAAAGAGCGTAACTCCTCAGATTCAGTTCAAGCATGAACCACTCATTGGTGTTACAACTCACAATGTTTTCATGCAGCTGTTACCTTTGCTATACAAAGTATAGTGGTTGTTCTAGGGTAGCTTATTTTTAGATCTATGCTGAAAGGGGAGAAAAGAATCTCTAAAATATAAACATAATACATCAATATAATATAAACTCCCTATCTCAATGTGTCAAGACCAACTCTCTTATTTTAGAGATGTTCACATGGGCCCAGCAAGGTTTAAAGACTTAGCCAAGATCCCGCTGCACTCATAACAGAGCAAGAGGTGTGTGTCGATAAGACCCTCTAGTATCCTAATGTCTTGTACTTTCCACTATTCAGGGTCATGGAGATTACACCTTGAGATAAAATTTCACTTACTTTAGGGAGATGTCCTAGTAATTTTGTAGCATGTTCTTTGAGAAGTTTTAGCCTTTCCTCTTCAATAATGGCATTGATACACCCTTGTCTTCTTTGCTGCAATTGCCATTCTTCAAGTTCACGTTGCTGGAAATAGAAATCAGATTTTATTGACGGTCACAAAATACATAAACCTTTCAGGGAAGTGTTCAAATAAAACTTTTATAGTGAATTACAGTATAAAATTGATGATTTGTGACATTAAGCTCAAAAGATATTAGTGTATATATATATATATATGTATATTTTATACTATATGTATACATATATCTATCCCTTACTATTACTGCTTTAGTTGTAAAAACAATAGTTATGGCTATAATTTTTAAGGTGCTTTACAGATATTAACTCCCTTAGGTGCTAGAGTTAGATCATGATTTGTTTAAATCAAGATTAAGAAACAGATTTTTATCCAGTGAGAGTACACTGCGGTTTAAGCAGGAAAAAGGAATGACGAAATTAAAAAAACAAAACACTGTAACTTGTAGTACAGTTACAAGGGTACCAGTTAGAAGACACTTTCAGTAGTTGATGAGAATTCTACTGAATGTCTGAGCAAAGTTACGAAGAAGAGAAGCCAGATGTAAGAGATTACTGAAGAATCAGTACCATTTGATGGCTGACTGAAAATCTTTCTGTGAGAAAGAGGAAAACTTCAGGAATGATTCCAGGATGATGGATCTGGTGATTAGGCGGTTATATTCTTTAACCAAGATTCAGGATACAAGAATTAGAAAACATTTGTCTGATTATGTTCACCTCTAGATACCTCCCAAAATCCCTCAATTATATCTATATCAAACTATATCTATATTTTCATATGCTACTTAACTCCAGATACAAATTTCTAAGGAAATGTAGTGTAAACTTTACTCTTCTATTTGCCTTCTCAAGATATTTTCAACTTGCATTTCTATTTTAAACTCAACATTCCTAAACCAGAAGTTGCTGTATCTTTTAACTCCAACTCAAAATATACTGTAACAGCACTTGTGTTCCTTATATTTGAAACCTGAGTAATTTTGACTCCTTCTTTCACCCTCCCTTATATGAGAAATAAGAATCATACAATTCTTATCTCTTTCTCCTTTGAAAATAAATTATTTTCTTTTTCTTTCCTCCTATTACTGTTTTTATTGCCGACTGTAGGTCATCACCTCACTCTTAAATCACTATGTTACATTGACTACCGCAGAGTCCACTTCCGTGTTCTCTCTAATCCTCTGCCTATCATTCCAGTTTCTCAGTGACGAGTGCTGCCACGTGCTCCCAATGTAGACTAGCCTTCACCTGTCTCCTTTTATATATTCCCAGTAAACCCACAGAGCTTGTCGTAACTGTATTGCACAACTAGGAAATTCTATCAGTGTTTACAATGCACATTTTAAAACGTATTCTTAGCATATCTTGGAGTTTTATATGTAATGCAGTCCACTGGACATCCATTTATACCTATTTTTGGCACTAGATCAGAAGTTACCAGACATTTGTTTTGGTTATCTTCCTAACACATACAAAAATATCTAGCGAATCAGAATCTGCTGATTATAAAAACAGCCTATTTTAGTCCACTTGTGAAGAAAAAGGTCAGCATTCTGATATAAATTTACTGACCCCAGCCCTGCTACCTATTTACCATGAACTCTGGACAATAAACATAGTTTCTCTATGCCTTATCTTCCATATCTTTAAAATAAGATGGTAACAGCACCTAATTCAACGGGTTAAAAGTTTTTAAAAAGTTGTTCCTTTGTTTATAATGATTAGAATTATTGTTAAGTGTTCAATAAAGGTTATTGTTGCTACCATTTCTATTGTGTTTTTTTTTACCATATGCCTAAAAATGCTACTTCTTGTATTTAAAGCTCTCTATCTTTTCAAAGCACTTTCATATGATCTCATTTGGTTTTTAACACAACCTAGAGTCACAGGTTATATAAATATTACTTTGGTTTTATCAATGAAACAGAAATAGGTAAATCAGTGTCCCAAGTCACAAAGCTAGTTCTCTCTCTGGCTCTGAAATCCACATTTCCAAATAGAAATCTTAGTCTTTGACCTCAAAATCAATAAGATAAATAGAATTATTCATCCTCTGAAAGTCTACTTTTCCTTCTACATACTCTTCTTTCAGGACATCACCTACTCATTAAAGATTAAAGGAGCAGTGTTATCAATTGGTAGCAGTAGCCTTACGTCTTCTCTCACTTCTCCAGATGTAACTGTACACCAAGTACTATCAATTCTATATCATTAACATCGCTCAGGTGGGTCCCTTGTACACATGAATGGGTTTCACCTCTTACCACTGCGATGTAATAGCTTCCTACTGGTCTCCCCGTCTCCTTTCTGACTCCTTTATATTTTATTTTAATGTTACTACTTCACTCATCTTCCAAAAAGCAGATCTTAGCATATAGTTTTCCTAACTCTTCTGTGGCTCTCCCTGGACAAAGTCCACCTTCTTAAAATAGCACTTAGAGAATTCATGCTGACACATACCAACACATTCATATCTGTGTAATTATAATCACTTGCACAACATATCTTTATAATTAACTTTTATATCTGTTCTTAGCCAAGAACATAAATGCACAGATGACATATGGACCTAGTTGTATTTGCCTTTATGTTCTCAACATCAACCAGTTTAACACATAAAAAGCATCCATAAGCAGATTTTATTATTTATTTATTTATTGGTTTTTTTGAGACAGGGTCTCACTATGTAGTTGAGACTGCCCTAGAACTCACTATGTAGTCCAGGCTGGTCTTGAACTCACAGTGATCCTCCTGCCTTAGCCTCCCAGGTGCTGGGATTACTGGCATGAGCCACCACACCTGGCTGCACAAGTAGATTTTAGATGCTATCATAAATGCTTAGTCAGAAAATTTATATATCATGTGATTGGTAAACAGATAGCTAACACTGTCTGACACACAAAATTTCTCCATAAATATTCAGCAGAAGAATGGATGAGCTGGTTACTGTCCAGTGATGACTCAAAAACATTTTCTTTTACCTTGTCTGCAAGGAACTGGTTACGACGCTCTTCAATAAGTTTTTCCACAGCCTTTCTATGTTCTAATTGCTTCATTCTTTGTTTCTGAGCATTCATTAATTCTATCCGATCATCTTCAGCAAGTTTAGCCAGCATAGTTTTTCTAAATATTTCCTCTTCTTCTTTTGCAGCCTGTTGTACTAGTTCTTTCAAGGCCATTTGTTCCTCAAAATCTTGCTTCATTTCTTTTTGCTTTCTTAATTTGTCTTCTGCTTCTTCCTAAACAACAATATAGATAAAAGTCAATTTAGTAACCATTTTTTTGCAACCAGTTTATAAAGAAACAGTGAGGCCATTTGGTTAAGCTTGATATTCCAAAGTGCAAAAATACAGACTAAAAACTTATACTTTTTCATAACCATTTGTCCTACCCTTTTAAAACTATTTGGATACAGCAACTGTTCTTTTAGATTGCCTTGTATTACTTATTTTTAAATTTTTAATTTATATATATTTACTCATAATTAACATGAAATTATGCTGGAAAAAGGAAATATGAAAACATTTTGTACACCTGGTTTTATTCATGTGTCATCTGTGGTACTTGAATTAATTGTGAATCATTCTAGAATCTTGCATGAAAGACTTGTCCAAAGCAGTATTTTTAGTTTCCAACTTCCTTCCTTTATGAACTCAAAACCAACTACCCAATGTTTAGTCATCTTATACCATTACTATTCTCCAAAATTCAATGAAATTTAAATAATCCAGCAATAACAATTAGTTCTTCAGGGAACTCAAATTTACTTGAAGCAGTTAAAATTGTCTCCTGCAAGCTTTACTTTCTGAACACTTGGGAAAATTTAAAACATACAAAAAAATTAAGAATGTGCAGTAATCATCCACTTACCTAACACATAACTTCTACTAATTGCATTTTTACTATTCTTAGTTTATTATCTATCGATTCAATTAAGACTGAAGTATATTCTAAATCCTTGTCTTTTCTAATAGAACCACGTTCTAACACAAGCTTCAGGCATGTCCCTATTCTCAAGGCATCCAAAATACGCCTTCATACTTGTACGGCTTAGGGTTCTTACAGATAATGTCGACTCGGGGATTTACTACAGGCCTTTTGGTGCATAAAGAACTCCCTGGAGGGCCAAGATGCCACAGTTCTCTTTCATTATTTAAACCCCATGAAGGCAATGCTACCAGCACAACCCTGAAAGAACAGGTGTTCCTATTTGTGGCTACCATTTTATTTTGCTCACTGGTATCTTCAAACCTGCAAGGGGGAAAGACAACTGTTGGAGATAACACAAGTCGTATGAAGAACATTAGCTAAGAGAAGAAAGTGTAGTTCTGACTGTATAATAAATCCCCAACTTACAAACATTCAAGTTGCAAACTTTTCCAGGTGTACATATAAGACTCTCTTGTCATACGTAGGAACAAATCCATGTTGTTAATATTCTCCTGGACCATCACTGGTGTTTGTAAGCTGGGGACTTAATGTACAGTCTTTATAATATGGGCAGGAATGGGTGAGAGTGCTAGCTATTCACCTTTTGCTCCACTGAGTATTCATTCTCTTCTTCATTATCCTCTAACAAGTCCTATGCCCTCCACAAAGTCTCCTCCAAACAGATTAATATTCACCTTTCTTTCTGGCCTCTTAGCTATTTAGTTTCTCCATCTCTTAATTTTATTTCATCTATACTTGCCTTATCTCCTCACTGAAAATAAATTCCTAGAGGACATATCCTTTTTAAAAGATATAATATTTAAGAATTTTGAAGGCACCATTTCATACTGATTTCTAATTAATTGCCCTGTAGTAAGAAAACCTATTTGGTGTGGATTTAAAGCCTTGAAAATTACTTTCCATCTAGGATGTGATCCGTCTTTGTGAATGTTACAAGTGTACTTGAATACAATTTCTAGTTTGCAGTTCTTAGGTTGAGTAATCTCAAAATGTCAAGTCAAATTTGTTTACACTCATGCTCAGTACTAAAGCCTATGGTTCCGACCACTTGGTCTATATTAATGACAAAAAAAAAGTATCAAAATCTACAACTCTGATTCTGGATTTGTCTATTTCTCCTTTTATCCTGTTGTTTCATGCTGAAGCTTTACTATTTAGGACTTTTACATTCACCAGGTGAATTTATTCTGATAAAACAATGTCTTAAAATCGACATTGTCTTATTAACTCAGCTACTTCAACTTGTTTTAGAGCTCACATGGAGTGTCTGTCTTCTTTTCGCTGTTACACTATGTGTCTTCATATTCACATTGTGTTAATGTATTCAACACAGCTGTATCACGCCTTTTATGATGGAGCTTGTAAACTGCTTCCTGAGTCTAGCTCGAAAATGTCTCTCTTAACTTGTTGTTTATACCGTCTTACATAGGATGTAACCAGCAAAATGGTTGTGTTTACATCTATCTTTCTACTGCTCTGTCTCAAAACCATATGCTTTTCTATATTAATTGTTCTTTCAGCTTCTGAAACTTACTTTTATTTTCCTCTTATAGACTTCAGCTGCTTCTTCCTGATATAATTCTTGTCGCACTTGTTCCAAATCTTCACGCTGTCGCAGAATTTCTTCCAGTTTCTGGATCAGCTGTTAAATTTTTAAAAAACAAAATATTTATAGGACCCAAATTTTATTTTTAGAGTATTTTTAGAATTTTACGTGTTAAAGAAGTGCTTCTTTTAATACCTCATTTTGAAGCTGCAGCCTTTTTCCCTCAACTTCTTGAACTTTTGCCATCCTTTCTTCCTCTCTTTGCTGCTGCATACTGGCAAACTCTATGATTTTCCTGTTTTCCTCTTCCATCTCCTCACGTTTCTTTTTTCTCCACAGAGCCTGCTCTTTCTGAAACTCTTCAATGTACTTCCGGGTTGCGTTCATTTTTTCTAACTTTTGTTGCCTTTCTCTACAAAGCAACAATGGATACAGTTTTATAGTAGCACAAATAATAATAAAATAAAGTAATTTCCTTCTGCTGACACTAAGTGGGGGAAAACACCTTTTCTATATACAATTCATTCATTAGTGCAACAAACATTTTGAATGTCTACCATGTGCCACTAAATATAATGTTAGGTATGAATATTCTCTGGGTAAAATACTGCTGTGCCTATTTTCAAACCTACTGATGAGATTTTATGCATTTTCATTTCAGAAAGGCTACAACCTGTTGACATAAGCTTTGCAGCACTCTACACTTAAGCTGTCTACCAAGAAAATTCATCAGAATATATGGTACAGGCCTATTTAAGAAAAGCATTTCAGTCATTCAGTCAATAAGCATTTATTATTAGATAATTTGCTAACAACCATGCTGACAAAGACGAAGAATGCCCTCAATCTATGTGATCAGAACATTTATTGAGCACTTATTATGGGTCAGTCACTGTCCTCTGAGCTTTGCCCCTTTACAACAAACCTATGAACAATGTAAAGGAAATTTTTAGCCGTTTAACAGATTGAGATAAACTTACAGTTGGTCTTCTTCATATATTTTCCTCACAATTTCATCAATCATGAGTTTTTCTTTCAGCAACTGCTCATAAGCTTCCTGCTTTCTTTTCTCTTGCTCTTCAAGTTGTTTCTCTAAGTCAAGGTAGTATTGTGCCTTCTCTTTGTTTCGCTTGTCCTCTAGCGCGTTCTCTTCCTTTATCACTCTCTCATGCTCTTCCATCATGGTTTTGGCTATTTCAGCATCGCGTCTCTGACATTAAAACAAAATTTGTCTTTTCATTTTCAAATTGGAGGCAAGTATGACGATTATTTTAAGTAGACCACCTGGATATTTTAAAGCCTGTCCCATGAGCAGGTATTTTCATCTGTGTAGGTAAAAAGCACAAGTAGATTGCTGTGACCTGAAGGGTATGAAGGACGAGTGGGACGCGAGAGGGGAGGCCTTCCTATTCCTTTGAGAAGCTCTCTCACAGGGCAGTGCCCGATAAGGATAATTAATAAATCCACATTGGAAAACAAGAAGTGAAATTATAAGTACTTTATAAGTAACTCAAAGTTGTCATCATGTTTTTCCTCTATAAGTTGAGCTTGGCAATTTTCATAGGTTTTAGCTTGAGTGTTTATCCCTTGCTATTTGGTATGAAGATGGTACGAGCTCTTTCACACAAGTCTGGTATTAAATGACCATGAGCAACTCAAGTTTTTTTCCAGCCAAAACTTTCTTTCCTGCCATGAGACTTTGAGTGTCCCCGCTTCTCAGTTATTAAGGGCCCTGTGCAATCACTTTAACTCAAAAGGCCCACATCTCTTACTGTGTCTATTTCCCACAATCTAATTCACTCACTCAGTACTGTTCCTGCTGAGTCAAGAGACAAACCTTTTCTTGGCTGGGTTAAGCTTTTTATCCTGAGTGTTTTTAAATAATTTAACAAAATAAGTTTTAAATGGAACAAATGAGCAATTTTTAAAATTTGCCTTTATGACCACATCCCAAATACAGGAATAGTTTTTCAGCATCAAATATAAAGAAGAAATAGGTTAAAATATTAATTGGTGAATGTCATTCCTGATATAACTGATCCCTATAAAATATATCCTGCTAATATGACTTAACCAAAATTTTCTCTTTTTTTTTGCACGTTGCACTGTTCTTTCTTAAAATATATATATGAAGTGACAAAACTTTTATATTTGTATAACTGCCTACTTATAGAAATGCAATATCACTTTACAAACAAATCAAGGCTCAGAAAAATTCAGCCAAACTGGTACCTAGATATCCTGAGGCCTAGGATTATACAGCTTTAATTTTGTGGGTCATTTTTGATTTAGAAATATCATCTTAAATTATTTTAGGAGTCAAATTACAATGTCTACAAAGACCCTGAATAACTTCAACTATTAGAAGTGGTAAAACTAAAAACCACTGGATAAATAGGAAATTGTGTACAAGTTTGTTATTAAAAGGATAGAACTACATGGCTTAGGAAATAAAATCTTCCCAGTTTTTCTTCTACCTGCCGCACCTAAAGTTATCATTAGCAGCATGCTATAGGCCCTCCAGACATTTTCCATAGTAACACAAAGGCGCACACACATTAACACATATGTGCCTTTGAAGCCTGTGCCTATTATTAGAAATACTCATTGTACTGCATGGGTTAACTATTATGATACCATCTCTAAATTGGACACATTGTGAACATATGTTTATGTGGATACACAAAATATACACATGTGTATACATACGATTGTCTGGTCTTTGATATAATGAGGCTTAAGGGTTGATGTACACCCTGTAGTTCAGTGTTACCTTAGGAAACACCATTACACATTTACACTGTGTAACACTACAGTGGACATGTGTGAGACTCCTTTGCCCAAGAGCAATCCCTCAAAGCGGCAGTGTATGAGGAGTCAGTAAAGGAGATAAAAACACAGAAAAACCTCAGAAAATGGTTTCTTTTTTAAAACGGGAAAGTTTCCTATGTATGAGGTATCACCGAAACATACAGTGAATGTCTACACTGTCGTTAACTCTCCTCTCACTTCCAATATGCTTATCCCATTGTTCGTGCTACTTTCTGAAGTGGTTCTGGAAGTCCTCTTTAGTTTTTGCAATGTTTGATAGAGAACACAGTGAATGTTGCTGCCAAGTATCATCCGATGGGAAGGCAGGTTTGTAAAAACATTACCATGTGTCTTCATCCGCTTCACTGACCAGATCCCGGCACCATGCAACTTCTGGCACTTCCCAAAGTCAAAATGACCAAGGCAAGTAAACACTTTGAACTGATTCAGGAAACTGAGGTAGCCACAAGAATGTAGTTAAACATACTCATGAAAAAGGACTTTAACGTTTTAAAATTTAAATATTCATCATATTTTTCAAGTATGCCTCATGAAATTATCATTATAAAATGCTTTAAAAATTAAAAAATAATAGCATTCTAAAATATAACACTACTTGCTAACAATTTACACTACACTGTTTTGTCAGAGAATAACTAGATAGAGGCCATAAAGAACGCCGGGATTTATGCGTCCTCTAAAAAGCTTTAATATTAAGTTGAGCAGGGTTTCATTTGACTTCACTGAAGATTTTCCACACCCTCAGGATCTAAAATGTGTACAAGTATTTGGGAAATCTAGCAGTGTAAATTCTTTATAGACTGTAACAATGTTAAAAAAAAAACACCTGCTTTAAAAAATTTTTCTAAATGAACCTCGAGACATAAAAAACACAATGACCAGAAACAGTATTACCATTTGCTCATATTTAATGGCATCCTTTTCAGCGATCTGGGCTGCCCTCTCTTTATTCATGTAAGCGACTCTTAATTTCTTCTCTAATTCTCTGAGCTCAATACTGTGGGGGGAAAAAGACACATTTAAATTTGAAGCTCATAAGAAAAGTAAAATTCCCAGAAAACTGAATTCCTTCTATATTTTTAATTTTTTCAAATAGTACACAACTGTTACCACTTTAGATCCACAGAAGAAATAACTTAGTTCATAACATTTAATGGATACCTTGGGACATTATGGGCTTAAATCTTCCAGTTGAGAAGGACTGTCATTCTATTATATTCATCTATTTGTTTATAACAATGGCACACTATTTTAACTCATATAAATTATAACAGGTCTTTATATCCTGGAAAAATTGCCTCCAATTCTGGTCTTAAAAAATAAATAAATAAAGAGGGCCGAGGATTTAGCTCAGTGGTTCCACTGCCTGCCTCACAAGCACAAGGTCCTGAGTTCGATCCCGGTTCTTGGGGGGGTCAATTCTCAGTACTTGCATTTCCATTTCTACTTTGTCAAACTTCACAATAAACAAAACTGGCAGGGATTCTGATTAAGATTGCACTGAATTCATAAATCAGTTTGGAACATACTGATATCTGCACTGAGTCTTCCATTCCTTAAACATGGTATCCTACTTATTTAGGTTTTTTTGAAGTCTATAAATATTGGTTTATATTTGTGGATTTTGTCTGTTTTGCAAAGCTGGAAATCCAACCCAGGCATCCTTGGCAAGCACTTTATATCTGGGCTACATTCCAGACCCTAGTGTTTTGTTTTGATATAGTAATGTATATCTTTCATTACTCATTTGTTTTTATGTTCTTGGACAGATTGTAATTTCTCAGATTTCATTTTCTAATTGTTGCTGCTTTACAGAAAATAATGTTTATATAATAACTTCACATCTAACATCAACTTAGCATTAATTCTAATTGATCTATAAATTCCTTTTAATTTTCTACAATCAAAGCATTGGTGAATAAAATTTTATTCCTTCATTGTCTATCATAACACCTTTTGTTTCTTTTGTCTTATTGTGCTGGTTAATATGTACAATACAGTGATTAACAGAAGTTTTGTTGTGTTGTTGTTTGCTTTTTTTAGAGCAAGTATCTCTGTCTTCTGTCAGAGGGAAAGTGTTTTACATTTTGCCACTAAGTATGCTGTTTCCTAAGTTACCTTTTATTCTTAGTTTGTTAAACTTTGTTTTAATCATAGTGATATTGATTCATATCCCCTTTTTCTGTTTATATGATTGTGTTAACAGATGAGCTACATTTACTTGTTTTTAATGTTAAACCAAATTGACATTCCTGAAATAAATTAAATATGGTCAGGATGTGTAATCTTTCTTATATGCAACTGGATTTGATATTAACTGATACAATATTTCAGATCATAACTGCAGAATTATGTAAAATTGGTGCTGCTTCTTCCCAAATATTTAAAATTCATCTACACCTATAGGTTTCTTGGCAGACAAGATATAGATTCAGTGCCTTTAAAATATATAGGAATAGTTAGGTTTCTATTTCTACTTGTTTTCCTGAATATTCCACTAGTACTTCTTGTTCTGTTTCTTCTTGTTTGGTAAAATGTGCTATCCAGCAATTTATTTCACTTCATTTTTCAAACATCTGGATAAATTGTTCACCGAATTCTGCTGCAATCTATTAAATGTGTCTATGACCTATACTGCTATCCCACTACCTAAAACTGGTTTTCATTCTCTTTTATTCTTTATCATTCTTGCCAAGAAGTTATCAATTTTATTAGCCTTTTAAAAGGCATAATTCTTGGCTTTTTAAAACTCTATTGTATGATTGTACTCTAACTCATTTATTTCCACTTTTGTCTTTATCTTTGCTCTCCTCCTACATTCTTTCTGTAATCATTTCAGAAGGGAATTTACTGATTATTTCCTAATTCCAACTAGTGCATTTTCTAATGTCATTTCAGATTAAAAATTACCCTACAGAAATAACTTCAGCTACATCCTGAAAGATCTGGGGTTGCTCTTTTTTAATCCTCTAACTTATTTAGTGTGAAAAATACATATAATGGGAAATTTTCAATTTTAACCATTTCAACTATAACGCTCACTGGTGTTGGGCTGGGGATTTAGCTCAGTGGTTCCGCCGCTTGCCTTGCAAGTGCAAGGACCTGAGTTTGATCCCCAGTACAAAAAAAAAAAAAATTAATTATCTGGTGTTAATTACACCCACAATGTTCTGTAACCATCAACAATATTTCCAATACAAACTGAAAAGACAGACTTTTTAAGACAGATTCTCAAATCTGCTATGTTAACTGTCTTCTGCACAGGCTCCTTTTGGAGTCATCATTTTTTAATTTTGACATTTACTGCTCTATATAATTAATTTGTTAATTATGTATTCTTTTTCACATTTTTATGATAGAAACTACAGCAGGTTCTTTGTTTCAATTCTGTTGAAATGGGTCCATTATTTACCACACAATGAGAAAGACTCTCGACCACTGCAACTTTATTCACGCTCTATTTCACTTTTGTCATTTTTTAACTCTCTACATATTTTAAATTTAAAAAGGTTATATTAGAAGTTTTGTACATGCAAATTCCCTTAAGTTTACTTAACATTTACCTCCTGTTGTTCTGAAATTGGACTTAGGATAGTTTTTTCTTCTTCTACCTAAAGAATTTAAGTATTTCTTTTAATGCAGGATTCTTAGTGATCAATCCTGTTTTTATCAAAAATGTTATTTTGTGTTGTGTTTTAATCCATCTCATCTACTTTTTATGGATTAACAGTTTATCGCTCTGAAACATAAAGAATTGGTCATAGCATTAATAAAAGAAAACAGTCCTTTTTTTTTTTAGCTGTTTTGGCTGAATTTAAGTACAAATCATATATGGAGTATTTGTTTTTGCTTCCACAAAGTTGTGTTTAGCTATTATAATAAATATATGGTAATAAACATAAACAATATAACTATGAATTCTTCATTAATTATAATACAAAGTTAGTTGGTTATACAATTAATTATAATATCGATTGCTGGCATCATTAAATAATAGAATTCCTTAAAATAAGTAGTTTCCCAGCTCCAGTTAAAAGCAGTGACTGGCTTTAAGTATTTTCTTAGGTTATAAAATTGTGTTCAAAATAGATAACTCATAACTTCTGAACTTCAAGAAGTATTTTCAAAAATAAAGATTTGAAAAATGTATTCTACATTTTAAAAATTAATTCTTTTTAAATTTAAGGTGTGTAAACTTAACATTATAGGATACATTTTAAATATCAGAGCAAACAATTTCTTGAATTTAGACCTGCCAATTTGTAGATGAATATACCAATTGAAAAAACAGTCAATTTCTGCATGCAATACAAAACATTAGCATGGCTTATGCACAAAATTTATAAAATCCTGGCAATTTTGACACTGCAGAGAGGCAGTGAATTATTCTTGAAATACTACTAAGACTACTAAAATGAGTCATTTTTGCCTTAAATTTAAAGAAAATTTTAAGTTTAGAATTTTGCATGGGCTGTAATTTTCTTTCAGCTCTTTAGATCTACTATCTTTTTTTTTTAAACAGGGTCTTACTATGTATTCCAGGGTGGCTGATTCACTTCATAGCTAAGGCTAGCCTCCAACTCATGGTAATCCTTCTGACTCAGCCTTCTGAGTGCTGGGATGACAGATGTGCACCACCAGAACCTACTACCTCCAATTTCTACTGCTCCTGTTCAAAATTCATATTCCTTAATGTTGTTTCTTTGAAACTAATACACTTTTTTTCTGGCTGCTTTATTGTATTTATGATTTTTAAAAATAAAACTGGATTTTATAAACTTGGGTTTTAGAAGTTTGATAAGGATGAGTTTAGGTGGAGTTTTCATTATTTATTGACTTTTATACCTATGGCTTTATGTCTTTTATCATTTTCAGAAAATTCTTGGTCAGTATCTCGATAAATAATGCTCTGCATCACTCTCTTTCACCTCTACTACCAGGACAAAAATTACCTTATGTAAATCTGTTAATAGTTTCCACCAGAGCCCATTATCTCTTTTAAGTTCTCATCTGTATTTTTCCACCCCTGCTTTCTGTACTTTACCCTCACCTATCACAAAATATCTATTCACCTACATCTTATCTCATAAAACAAATCAGATTACAGGATAATATATACCAATGTGAAGAAATCTTACACGTACGGCTTGAAGAAAACTATTAAGCATGTTAGCCATGTGTTTATCGGTCAATCGCTGCCTCACATAACTCAGCCATACTCTTAGAATTAGCAGAAACCTCCAGGAGAAATGCAGCCACCAATGCCAAGCTCATCGCGCTAGTTTCCTTCCCGTCCCAGTTCTTATTTTTCCTGTTTTCTTCCGACTTTCTGTCTTCAGAAGGAACACTTAGATGAATCAGTCTGCAGTGCTCTAAGTGGAAATTCTTCTATTTAATTCATCTTCAGTGATTAGGCAAACAAGTGAAGAAACATTTATTTCATCTTCAGATTATATAAAACCACGAGTAACAGCTAATAATTGGATAATTAAGAGTCCAAAAGGATAGTCTGAGACCACAACAATATGGTAGTAGTAGTTTTATTTTAGTAGTAGTTTTATTTTTCTAAGGATAATTGCTTTAAGAATCTGATTAAAGTTGTAGACCTAGAAGAATACAGTGGGTGTATTGACTAAATGTATACAATGAAACTCCAAACCCCTGAAGCTCATCCATGGTCCTACAATGTTCTATAGAAGTTCTACTCAATTAAAACAAGGTAGAACAATTACTAAAGTCAATTTTCAACATATTGAACTGTACAAATACAGGACGGGCACTTACTTGGTCCTAAGTGTGGACCAACAGTGCGACGTGGCTGTCCCTGGGAAGTAATTCAGTCTTGAGTACTGTCTTAGTTTCTTTCTCATTGCTGGGACAAAATATCTGACATCCACAAGCTAGAGGAGGAAAAGTTTGTTTCAACTCCCAGTCTGTAGAGGTTTCACTCCATTATCAGCTGGCCCAAGGCAGGGCAGCATGGCACAGGGGCATTGCAGAAGAAATAAAGTGCATGGCAAGGCAGGCAGAAAGCAGCAAAAACAGACTCCCATCCCTTTTATCTCATCCAAACTACAAAACTTTTGAGTGGTGTCACCCTACTCAGGAGGGCCTTCTCATTATCCACACCCAGAACTATGCTTAACCAGTCAGTGGACTAATTTAATAGCACACACCCTTATTTCCAGTATCACACACCTAGACCCAGCCAACTCTGAAAAGCCCCATCTATGAGTGCCTGAGGCCTCAGGGGGCACATCTAGATACAAGCCACACAGATAGCATTAATAAACATGTTCCAGGGTCCCATGAGTCTACTTTTTATAGTAAATGTAAAAATTTATGCTTAAGGGAGAGGGCAGAAGGGACTGATATTTAATTTTCACTGTAAATATTTTTGCTACTATGAATGCAACTTATTTTCTCAAATGAATATTTCTGGACTAAAGCCAGCATTTCCAAGTAAAGTATTATGTAATAACATAAACAAAGAGATTTTTATTTTCATGTATTAAGGATTTATTGATAAATACTAAATAAACAAAAATAGTAGAAAATAAGATACCTGTTTTCTCTCACTTGCTGCCTCATCTTTTCATCCTTTAGCTTTTCATGCTTTAGTTTTGCCAGTTCCACAGCCAATTTTTCTTCCTGTTCAAGTTGGCGTTCCCGTAATCTCTTGTTTTCTTCTGCCTGAACGAAGAACATAACTTAGTTATTTTTCCCCCCAAAGTCAGACTTTTCTCTGTCAATGTTTGGATTTGTTTTATAACAAGAAACTAAACACTTTAAGAGCAAATGTCAACTGTTCAACTATTTTTCAATACAAAATATTATTTCAACAAATATCTTGTCAAATATTTTATCATGATAAAAATTTCAAGTATCACCAACATTAAGACAATGTTAAAATAAATGCTCCCCAATCACTGGTCCTTTTACTGTTTTCCTAGTTCTGTCTTCCCAGAATATCATACTGCTGGGATTATACAGAATGTAGCCTTTTCCAAGTGACTCTTTCACTTAGTAATATGCATTTAATGTTCCATCATGGCCTGATATCTTATTTCTTTAGTCCTGAACTGTCAGATCCACATTGTCTAGGAAAGGCGCAATTTATTCCAGAAGATTCTCTTCATTTATTTTTTTGATTCTTCCGTGGCTGCCCAAAATGCCTTGCAGCTGGCCACAGCTATGGTGGATGCCCCATGGCCACTTTAGGAGCTTCAGCAGCTGCAGACTTCAATCACAGGTCTACTACAGATGACCTCAACCTACAGGCTCTCTGGATGACTTTACCTCTCTGTAGCCATCTTCAGCTGATGAGAAGCACCACCTACTCATGACTAAACAGAAAGTCTGATCCTGCATATGGAAAAGCCCTCCTACTTCTGCTAGATAAGCAATTTTCCCCATAACCCCATTGAGTCATTCCATGCACTAGTACCTCTTATGCTGCACAGAAAGTCCTAATAAAGTATCTTTTACACAGCATATTGTTTTCTCCATTCATGCTTTCAATCTCAAGGAGAGCAAGCTGAGTATACTAACAATCGGAACGCCAAACCAAAAGCAGCCAGGAGCGGAGGCTGGGAACTCTGAAGGTAGACAGCAGACAGAGAACAATGGAAAACAACAGAGACTTGCCTGGAGCTGCCATCTTTGATGGCCAGAGGAGTCTCTCAGGCCTACCCATAGCTGCTGGATCCAAGTGGCAAGCAAAACTACTAAGCCAAAGAAATGACAGCCACTGGCCTTGGAGATGAGAGCTGTCAATACTAAAAGAACTGCACTTTGTTTATTCATGATTTTTCTTTGCACTGAGCAAAAGAACTTTTAGGCAATCAGTGACAGATGTAAGTTTATCAAGACATCTTGACTGTTTCCAAGTTTTGGTATTTACAGATAAAACAACCTATAGCTACCATGTGTTATAAATATTATGTATTTGAATATATGCCATAGATACATGAAATATGATCAAAGTATACACTGAATGTTTAATTTTTTTTAAAAAGAAAGAACTTATTATAGTGTAAGACCAGTGCCATGAATTTCCCTCAAACTGTTTCCCCTTGCTTAAAAAACCCTTATGTTATTGCTGCTTCAAATTTCTGAAAAATTCTGGAAGTTCTCCTTCACGACCATGATCAAAGCAGATAAAGTGTGATAAAAAATACAATGAGTCTTGTTGATGAGTGCCATCCACCAGAAAGATAGGCTCATGAAATCATGATGGTGGTTCTCATCTACCTCATTTACACTCTCTGGTACCATAGGACTTCTGGTTCTTCCTCAGATTGAAACTGCCACAAAAGGTCAACAGTTTGAATCAATTCAGGTCGTCGAAGCAGCCGCAACAGCACACTGAAGACACTTACGAAAGAGATCTTCCAGAACTGCTTCAGAACACGGCAAGAATGATGAAAGAAGTGTTTTCATAGGGCAGGGAATATTCTGGGGGAAACCGATAGCAGTGTGTCCTTTACTGTAATAAATGTTTCAATGTAAACATTCACTGTATTTTAAATTACACCTCATCCATTTTCAACATTCCAGAAGGTTTGTATTACCTCAAAAAGAAACCTATACAGAACTTGTTCATATCACTCCGCATTCCTCTCACCACTTCTTCAACCCCTGGCAATACTAATCTCTTTGTCTTTATAAATTTGCTTGTTCTGGACATTTCATAGATGAAATCATACAATGTGTACCTTTTTATGTATGGCTTCTTTCATGTAGCATAATGTTTACAAGGTCCAACCTCATTATACTATATACCGGTAATTTATTGTTATAGCTTTAGAATATTCTATTGTTTAGACAGAACATATTTTATTTACCTACTCATCAGCTGATTGGCATGTTTCCACTTTTAGGATCTCATAAATAAAACTGCTATGTATATTCATACAAACATTTTTAATATGCTGAGTAATACAGTAACTGTGCTTAACTTTCTCAGGGACTTTTAAACTATTTTCCACAGCCACTATACCAATTTACATTTCCACCAGCAATGTAAAAAGGATCATACTCTCCACATCTTCACCAATAATTATTTTCCATGATTTTATCATTATAGCAATCTTCATGGATTCCAAGTGGCTTCTTGTGGTTTTGCTTTGTATTTTCCTAATAACTAATGATACCGACCATCTTTTCTGTGCTTATTGATAATTTATATATCTTCTTTATAGAAATAGCTGTGGAATCCTTTGGATTTTCTTGTCTTCTTATATATAGGGCATTCTTAAAATGACAAAAGTATAAAAATGTAAGCCAGATTAGTGGTTACTAGCATTACTAATAGAACAGGGGTAGACAGTAAAGAGATGGCTACATTTATATTTTAGTATATGTGCTGCCAAAGTGAGCACTGGCTATTTTATAAAAGGGGAAAAAAGAGATTTTGGGGACAAAAGGGTATTCTGTATCTTGACTGTATCTTGTATATCTGAGATACAATCCTATTATCGACAAGTTGTATAGAACTAAATACACATAAGTAACAAGAGAAGCCTGATCAAGATTAGTCTATTGAATCACTGTTGATATCTTACTTATGATACTATGATTTTATGAAATGTTGCTTTTGGAAAACAATGGATATAGAAAGGACAGGATCTCTCTGCATTATTTTTTACAATTGTGCATGAATCTATAATTATCTTGATTAAAAATTTTAACTAAAAAAGCAAAAAACAAGTGCTGGTGAGGACAAGAAGCAACTGGAATTCTAATTCTTAAATAACATAAACATAAAGTAGTATAGCAGCTTTAGAAAAATGGTCTTATAGTCTCTTGTAAAATGAAACATACATCTACCACATGATGTAGCCATCCTATTTCCAGAAATCTACTCAAGAGAAATGAATATTTATGTCCACACACAGATCTACAATCAACTATATATAGCAGCTTTATTCACACAAAACTGGAAACAACTCAGATAGATTTCCTTCAACCTGTGAATGCATAAACAAATTGTAATATAACCATACCATCCTGCAATTTAAAATACTGATTCATGCAGCAGCACAAAATCTTAAACTTGCTTTGCTAAGTAAATGAGGCCAGACCCAGAAGACTTCATATTATACTATTCTATTCATATGACACTGTAGAAAATGCCAAACTATTAAGACAAAAAGAAATTAATATTTCCCAAGGATTGAGGAATGGCCAACTATAAAGTCACATCATGAAGAGAAGTTGTGTTAGCAGAATTGTTTTGCAAAACACTGATGCTAGAAACAGAAAGCTACACATTTATCAAAATCCATAAAACTGTACATTAAAGAATGAAGTTGGAAACCACCCAGTACATCCATGTTATGCACTGCTATTTAGCAAAAAAATACTTGGATGAATCACCAGGACATCCAATAGTCCCAACAATTTGTATAAAATCTGCAGGGCATTATACTGAGTAAAAAGAAAGTCTACGCAAAAGATCACAGGCATGATTTCATGTGTATGGAACTGCACACACGCTTGTGACTACATAACCCTCTTTAAATGAGAAATTATATAGATGGAGTACCAATTCGTAATTGTTAGGAATAGTGGGAGCTACAAATTCGTCAGTGATTGTTAACATTAATGAGAAAAAATTGAAACAGAAACAGGATATGCGCAGTGTCAAAGTATGTCCTTCAAAATATGTAGTAATTATAAAGTGGAAAATAATAACATTACTGGGGATAATCCTGGTAGATACAATTTTAACCAAGTGATCAAGGTTCATATCAAGAAAAATACATATCAACATCATCTGTCCCAATATGATTTACAAAACAGCAGTAAGATCCCAAATCATTTAAGTCTGAGTTAAATCAGAAGGGAGATTGTCCTGGATAAGCCTAATCAGATGAGGCATAAAAATGACAAAGAGCAGGAAAGTCATTGACCCAAAAGGGCCCAAAGGAAGTGAAGTGCTACATGGCAGGGAATGTCAGTGACCAGTGGGCCATGAGGGCCTTGGCCTTACAACTTCAAAAAAATGAATTCTGCAAACAATTTACACAAGCTTAAGGTGGATCCCAAACTCCAGGTGAAAATGTATACCAGCCAGCACCTTGATTTTAGCCTTCTGAGATCAAGCAGAGAATTCAGTTACACCATGCCTAAATTTCTGGCCTGCAGAAACTGTGTGATAACAAATAGTTTTTTAAGCTGTTGTGTCTGTTGTAACTTATTACACAACAGAAAGCTACTGCAACTGAACCACACTGTTCAAAGTTACTAAGCTTATGAAAGACAGAAAAAAGGAATTCTCTAACTGGAAGACACAAAGATTGGAGGAGATAAAGGAGACATGACAACTAAAAGTAATATATGATCCTGGAAGAGAAAAAAAGACAGGAAAAACTGATGAAATCTGAATTAGACCCTGTTATGGCTTATATCTAAATAGTCCCACAAATTCTCATACACTCATAGGTGGAACTTTTGGGAGGAGACTGGTTCCTGGTGTGTGACACTGGATCATGGGTGTGTGGTACTAGAGTAGTCCACTAGTGGGTGTATAGCTAGGTATGATGTTGGCAGGTGAAGCCAAGTGGGAAGAGGTGGATCACTGTGGATGTGGTCTGGAAGGCTGTATATTCCCCCTTGTCTTAGTTTTCGCATTGCTGAGACAAAATACTCAATACCCAAAGTTAAAGGAGGGAAAGTTTATTTTGGCTCACAGTTTGTAGAAGTTTCATTCCTTAGTTGGCTGGTACCAAGACAGAGGAGCACAGCAGAGGCGCGTTGTAGAGGAGAAACAGAGCAGGCAGAAAGCAGCAAGGCAGCAAGAAGCAACAGCAGTGGAAGTGGCAGCAGTCTCACCCTTTATTCCTTTATTCCTCCTGGGTACTCACCTTTTGGTGGGCCATACCCATACCCAAGGTGGGCCTTCATATTATCCACAGCTAGAACTATGCCAGATTAATCAGTGGTCTAATTTAGTAATCACACATCCTTAATCTTAGCATCACATCCTTAATCCCAGCATGACACACCTTGCATCCAGCCAGTTCCAAAAAGCTCCCACTTTAACTACATGAGGCTTTGGGGGGACATCTAGATACAAGCAGTACACTTCTGGTCCCCAAAAGACTCACAAGCATCTCTTAGTCTATCTCTAAGAGCCCTTTCTAAAAAGTTTCAACCTTTCTAAAGAGTCCAAGTGTGCTTCCAGATGAGACATAATGCCAAGGACAGCATCATCCATGGAGTATTCTTGCCAAAAGAGGTGGACTGCAATCTGATCGTGTCTGTAGGACTAACTTTCACTTAAAGGACGCAAAAGAGAGGTACAAGTAAAAGGGACCATGAGGAAGCAAGCAGATAAATACAGAATGTGGGATATTCAATGAAACAACTAGCCCAGTTTCTTTTAACAGGTTAAAACACGAAGTTCTTAAAATAGCGAATAAAGAAAGGACTACTTTAGATTAAGAAGAACTAAGACATAATAACTAGATATAGCGTTTGAACCTTGTTAGGTCCTGACTAAAACAAACCACTGTCAAAGATTTCTGCCACAATTGCAGAAACTCAAGGAATGGGTGAGATATGACATAATGGTACTCTGTAACTGTGAGAAAACATCCACGTTTTGCCAGATACATACTAAAGCATGCAGGAAAGAGTTGATATGCTATCTGATATTTTCTTTAAAATTAGAGAAAAATAAGAATAAAAAGAAAAGAAAAATTAAATATCTAGGAACTGCTCAGTCAAAAAAAATCATGTCTAAGCTCCTGAACTTGGAAAGAGGGATAGATTCCATTTTTAAAGCCTGCCTTTGCTATCCCCCACACTGTCCCACAAAGTGCTCAATGAATATCAGGCACTCAAATAATGAAATATATGACCACCTTTCTCAAATTCAAGAGAACTCATTTCTTTCATATATCTCCTTGTTTCATCTGTTTTCTTAAAACATTCAGAAATGCCATTGATAAATTACTTCCACATTTCATGATAGCTGAATTCTTCAAGGAGTGTTTCAAAAATAGAAAAAGTAAATTTATACTTAATACATAAGTGCTCATTTTGTACCACTTAATAATATACTTAATTTAAGTAAATTCAAAAAGGCATCCTTCAACTATTGTTCTCAGAAATTTATAAAACAAAATAATTGTACTTAAATGAGTAAAACTGGAAATCAATAATTACAAATTTCACAATTATGTTTAAAAATGCTTATTCTTAAGGCACTATTTTAGGGCTTTATACATATTCATTAAAATAATTCTAAGTAGGAGGTACTATTATTATTTTCCATGTTATAGATGAAGTATACAATGTGAAAGCCAGTTACCCGTAGTTCCACAGGTAAAATATAGCAGTACTAGGATTGGCTGCAAAAAGTCAGCTCTTTACCACTAAACTGGAAGGATTCAAAATGAGGCACCTTTACCTGCTTCTGGTTGCTATCTTCTCAATACCAGTGCTAACTGCTGTCTTTCATCATTGCCAATGAACAAATGATGAAAATTAACAGGGAATTTTAAAACTTACTTTTTGGATGGCTTCTTCCATATCCAACTCAAACTGCTCGTCCTGTAACAATCTGAGGAATCTCTTGTGCTCAACACGTTCATCATTTTTATTCTGCACAATTTGGTTCCTGACTTGACTCTCCACCTTTTTTAGTGCTTCCATGTGCAATTTTTTGCTGTAGTTTTGATCTACTAACTTTTGATGCCTTTCACTAAAGCTCAAAATTCTCCTTTTGGAAGCCTATAATAGAAAAAATCGAAAGTATGCATACTTCAATATTCCGAAGTCTCATTTAAAAATCACACTGATGTCTGTACCAAACGACACAAAAATAGGTTAACAGTTTCGGCTTCAATGTGCCTGATCAATACACTGATGCATCAAACGGATACCAATACTCCTTATTTTATAGAGAAGGCATGAAAAGTAAAAGTACTTAAACAGAAGTACTACTAGCATTCAAAGTCAGGCAGCCGAGATCCACAGACCTCGCTCTTCAGCACCACCAAGAGAATTCATCCCTCCTCTCTCTCCATCCACCACTCCACCCCATGGACACAAAGTCCAGTTCATAAGCTGGTCAGGTTTTCCTACTATAAATCTACTGGTTCAACCGCTGCTCTCTGACTTTTATTTCAATATATCTGTGCCAATGATCTACTGGTAGATTTAATGACGTATCTAAGGAGCGAGTGCAGAAAAAGAAAGGAAGAAAGGAACCGCGGCCAGCGTTCCTAAAAGGACAGCAGACACGTTTCCATCTTCATTCCTACTCTAGGCACTTCGAATCCTTTTTAGAAGCAGGCGAACTATAAACAATAATTAAACACACGTAGTTTTAAGTCCCCCAACTAGCTCACCATCTTGGCTGACAAAAAGGCAGGTTCCTCCACTCAGGTTCCGAAGCACCAGACTTCAACCGCAGTCTCTATTCTCTGTCCCGCCATAAATTCGGTGTTTACGCGGTGTCCTGGCAACAGCCGCCGCCAACCCGCGCAGGACGCTGCTTCCCATTGGACGAGATGAGACCCAATCGGCATCGAGCTTCTTCAGCGCCCAGGAGGGCTACTGCCGTCGGCCTAATGGGCTAGATGGCGCCAAGTTCAAGCTGTGGGAAGCAGTCCTCCGCGGGCCGCTGGTGAGCTGAAGATTTCCCACGGGACGGACAAACTCTTAACTTAGGACCCACATCGAGGCCTGCAGAAACTATTTTCAAATAAATACTCGTCTACAGCTGACTACTGAGGCGAAACCAGTTCCTGCGCGCTTACCCTGCGCCCGCCGGCCTCGCTGCTGGGTTGTGGTCCAGTACCCCGGTTCCATCCCCGAGCCTGGAGGGCGGCCTTCCTTGCCGCATCCCAACCTTCACAGAAGCTGTCTGGAGCAGAAATGCCTTAAGGTACGTGCATCTTTGCATCTCTGGTTTCTTTTTCTTTAAGGCTGAGTAGTGCTCCATTTTATTAAAAAAACCACATCTTTTTTATCCAGTCCCCAGTAGATGAGCAATTGGGCTGTTTCCAAGTTTTAGCTATTACGAACTGTGCTATCAACATGCGTAAGCATTTATCGCTGTGGTATGATTCTTTTAATTATTTTGGAAAGATACCCAGCAGAGGAGTAGCTGGGTCAAATGAGACTTCTAATCCTAGTTGTTTGAGGTATCTTCATATTGATTTCCACAGTGGTTGCACCAGTCTGCGCTCCCACCAACATTGGAGATGGGTTCCTTTCTCCCCACAGCCCCTACAGTATTTGTTATTGGTTGATTTCTTGATAGCAGCCATTCTTTCTGGGGTGAGGTGGGATCTCAGTGTTGTTTTCATTTGCATCTCTCAAATGACCAGCGATGTTGAACATTTTTTCTATGTTTATTTACTGCTTTTACTTCTGTGTCTGAAAAGAGTTCTTTATATGTTCTAGATAGTAGACCTTTATCTGAGGAATAGCTGGTAAAATTTGTTTAGCACATTGTGGGTTGTCTCTTAGCTCTGCTTGTGATTTCTCTGGCAATGCAGAAACTTTTTTAAAAGATGAGATTCCAGTTGTTGATTATTTGTGCTAGTTCCCGTGCCATTGAGGATTTGTTCATAAAGCCTTTTCCTATGCCAGTGTCTTTGAGAGTTCTACCTAACTTATCTTCCAGCAATTTAGTGTTCCTGTTTTAATATTTACATCTTTAATTCACTTTTTAATATTTACATCTTTAATCCATCTTTAGTGCATAGTGAAAAATACGGGTCTAGTTTTAATCTTTGACAAGTTGAAATCCAGTTTTTCCAACACCAGTTATTAAAAAGACTATCTTTCCTCCAGTGAGGGTGTTTGGCTCCTTTATCAAAAATGAGGTAACTGAAGTATGTCAGGAATTGTTTCTGCATCTTTTAATCTGTTCTACTGATCCTCAGGTCTGTCCTTTGCCAGTACCATGCTGTTTTTATCACAGTAGCTTTGTAGTAGAGTTTCAAGTTGGGGATTGTGATACCCTCTGCCATGTCTCTATTGCCTAGAATTGCTTTTGCTATTCTAGGTCTCTACTGATTCCAAATGAATTTTTTGATTGTTTTCTCTAGTTCTGTGAAATATCCATCAGGATTGCCTTGAATCTGTACAGCAGTTTTGGAAGTATGGCCATTTCACTATATTGATTCTTCCTACCCAGGAACAAGGGATGTCTTTCCATTTTCTTATATCCTCTTTGATCTCTTTTTTCAGAGTTTTGTAGTTCTCAATGTGGAGGTCGTCTGTTTCCTTTGTTAGATTGATTCCTAGATATTTCATCTTTTTGGATGCTTTTATGGAAGGGATTATTTCCCTAATTTCACACTCAGTGAGTATTATTTGTGTACAAGAAGGCTATTGATTTTTGAGCATTGACCTTGTGTCCAGCTACTCTGCTGAAAGTGTCAATTGAGTCTAAAAGTCTTTTGGTAGAGTTTTTTTGGTCTTCTATGTAGAGTATCATATCATGAGCAAATAATGGCAGTTCTTCCTTTCCTATCTTTATTCCTTTTATTTCTTTTTCTTGTTTAATTGCTGTGGCTAATGTTTCCAAAACTATTGAGCAGGAGTGGTGGAGTGGTGATGGTGGACATCCTTGTTTTATTCCCGATTTTAGCATGAAGGTTTTCAGTTTTTGTATATTAAATATGATGTGGGCCGTTGGCTTTTCATAGATAGCCTTTATCAGGACAAGATAAAGAACATCTATTCCCTTTTCCTGTAGGTTGTTTTTTAATCATGAATGGATGTTGAATTTTGTGGAATGCTTTTTCTGCATCCATTGAGATGATCATATGATTTTTGTCCTTCAGTCTGTTAATATAGTGTAACATTTATTGATTTATGTAAGTTGAACCATCCTTGCATCCCTAGGATAAATCTGATTTAAATCAGAGTGTATAATCTTCTGATGACCCTCTGTATTCTGTTCACCAGTATCTTATTGAGGATTTTTACATCTGTGTTTATTAGGGAGATTAACCTATAGTTCTCTTTTTTGTTGGGTCTTTCCTGGTTTTAGAGTCAAAGTAACACTTGCTTCCAGGAATGAATTTGGAAGTATTGCTTCTCTATCCATTTCATTGAAAAGTTTAAAGAGTAGTGGCAATAGTTCTTCTCTAAATGTCTTGTAGAATTCAACAGTGAAGCCATCAGGACCTGGGCTTTTCTTTGTTGGTAAATTTTTAATTACATTTTAAATTTCACTGATTATAATTGGGGTGTTTAGAATTTTTATATCTGCTTCATTCAACTTTGGTAATTCATATGTATCTAGAAATCTGTCTGTTTCTTCTGTGTTCTCCATTCTGTTAGAGTACAGGTTTTCTTTTATTGAGTTTATTGGTACATTTTAGGTATACAGTACAATTACATTCATTATTGGGAGCTTGAACCTTTACATGACAGGTTTTGGTTCTCATTTTTTTCTCCTTGGAGTACAGGTTTTCTAAGTAGGTATTGATGATCTTCTGGATTTCTGCTGGATCTGCTGTGACTTCACCATTTTCATTCCTAATTGCATGAATTTGAGCCTTTTCTTTTTTTAATTTTTTGATAAGGTTGGTTAAAGGTTTATTAATTTTATTTATTCTTTTGAAAAACCAACTCTTCGGTTCATTGATTTTTTTTGTACTGTTTTCTAAGCCTCCATTGCATTAATTTCTACTCTGACCTTTTAATTTCTTCCCTTGTATGATCTTTGGGTTTCTCTTGCTCTGCTTTTTCTAAGAGCTTAAGATTCAGTGTTGGGTTGTTTATTTGTGCTCGCTCTGTTTTTCTAGTGTTTGCATTCACTGATGAATTTCCCATGTAAAACTGCTTTCATTGTATCTCATAGATTCCTGTGTATTGTACCTGCATTATCATTAAATTGTAAAAACTGTCTAATTTCTTCTTTAATTTCTGCTGTAATCCATTGGTTGTTTGGTAGGGTGTTATTCAATTTCCATGTGTTTGCAAAGTTCTTTTGGTTTCTTATGCTATTGATCCCCTATTTAATTGCACTATGGCCTGAAAATATACATGGGATAACTTCAGTTCCTTTGCATTTACTTAAGCATGTGTTCTATTTTGGGAAATGACTTGTGTTCAGCTGAAAATAATGTATATTCTGATTTTGTTGGGTGCAAAACTTTGTAGACCTCTGTTAAGTCCATTCGTTCAAAAGCTTGGTTCACTTCTAGTATTTTGCTGTTGATTTTTAGTCTAGATGATTTATTTGTAACAATGGGGTATTGAGGTCCCCCACTTCAACTTTATTAGTGCCTATTCCTTGTTTCATGTCACTTAATATTTGTTTTGTATAGTTAGGGACATTAGTATTTGGTGCATATATATGTATGATTGTCATGTCTTCCTCCTGGATTGTTCCCCTTACAAGGTAGTGGTGACCTGCTTTGTCTCAATTAGTTTTGGTTTGAAATTCACTTTGTCTACAAATAAGATAGCTACTCCTACTTTTTTCTGGGTTCCTATAGCATGGAGAACTGTTTTCCAACCTTTTAATTTTAGTCTGTGGATTTATTTTTCAAGTAAGTGTGTTTCTTGTATACAGCATATTGTTAGATTTTGCTTCTTAATCCATTTGGCCAGTCTATTTCTTTTGATTGGTGAATTGAGACCATTGACATTGATGGTTATAACTGATATGTATTGACTTATCATTGTCATGTTATTTTCCTGTTGTTGGTTGTTTTATTTTTTCCCCCCTTTCCCTTTAAATTCTTGCCTATTGGATTTGCTCTGTTGGGCATCATGGAGCTGTGACCTTCATTTTCTTTTTCTAGGATATTTTTAAAAATTGTTTGGAGTGCTGGTACTTGGTATTCAAGAAGTTTCTCAGGTGTTCTTTGTCATGGAAGTATCTTTTTTCCCCATCTATTTTAAAAGATGGCTTTGCAGGATACATCAGCCTAGATTGGAAGTTGTTTTCTTTAAACTCTTGAAATACCTCACTCCAAGCTCTCCTTGATTTGAAGGTTTGGGTTGAAAAGTTTGTTGTGATTCTGATGTCCTTTCCTTTGCATGTAATTTGTTTCTTTTCTTTAACTGTTTGTAGTATTTTGTACTTCTGTTTGGTTTCCAGGATGTTTATCATATGTCTAGGTGTAATTTTTTTTTTTATCATGGCTAGTTGGACTCCTATATGCCTCAATTATCTGTATGTCAAATTCTTTTCCTGTTTGTTTTGAGTTTTCTATCATTAGTTCTGTGAACAGTTTTTAAATGTTATTTGTGCTTTCTTCTGCTTTTTCATGGACTCCTATTAATCTTACATTATTATCCTTTGCATCTTCTGGGGTTTGTTGGATTGATTTCTCATGATCCCTTACTATTTTTAAGATATCTCTCTTTTCATGGTCACTGACCACCATCCTATCTTCTATGTCTGATATTCTGTCTTCAGATTGTGTTAGCCTGCTATGTATACTTTTAATAGAGTTTTTAATCTCCTGGATATCAGTTTGAAT